AAGCTGTGGTCCTCCCTCCTCTCCTTTTTTTTGCCTCTCTGCGTTTTCTCATGTTTTCTCTCTCCTCGCCCCGCTGTCTGTCCATCACAGTGATGTTGAGGTGATGATATACAGGAAGAGGATTGTGGTAAAGCAGAGCAGAGTTGGACAGTAGGCTCCTTTATCCCACTGTAATATACAAAGAGAGCGCAGAGCGGCGGGGGCCCCTCGACCACACTGTGAAGGATATGAGAGCTAGAGAAGGTGAGGCCCCTGTATAATACGGCCTGTGTACGCACACGTGCACGTGTGTTTTCACTGTGAGGATTCAAAACTTTATTCTAATCCAATTTCCCTGAATCTTGAACTGTGAGTGACCCGTTCTCTTCCATTTAACACAGCACTAACCGTCGCCTGATTCTGAAAACTAAAAACAGAAGTTAATCCTGACCTTTCACCTCTTCCCTAAACCAAAGTCTTAAACGGATTGCTTCCTCTTTATGTGTCCGATGTGCCGAAACAGTCCCGACAACAGCAGCAGCTCTATTAAGAACTAGATTCACTTCCTCCTGGTTGTATCCCTCCGCCACTCAGACTAATTCCAGGTCACATCCCTGTTCAAACAGAATCCCAGTGACCTTTGACCTTTGGCCACCAAAGTCTAATCAGTTCATCAACGAGTCTGGGTGAAGGTTCCTACCAAATTTGAAGAAATTCCCTCAAGGCGTTACGGAGGTAATGCGTTCACAAAGCCAGAACCACGGAGGCTCCGTCCACCTTTAAGATAAGACTGATAAAAGTTCAAATCCTGCTCTCTCTCTCACCTCCACACACCTGGGCCATGTCGTGTTGGAAAGTTGCAGAAACTGTCAGAAAAGCTCAGTAGAGTCAGTTTCCCTCGCCGTTTGGTTGCAGCGTCGCCATGAACAGGTGTAATCTCAGAGTCCGGGCCCTGATACAGGCGTGTGTCGTGCACAGAGAAGAATCGGCCTCACAAAGTAAATAAATTACCAAGTGTGGAAAAATCTAAGAGGAATTATGTCTTGGATTTTGGTGAAACTGTATTTAAATATAATGTGGTGCGAAGAACGTCTGTCTTTAATCTTATTATTGATTTCTAACAATCATAAAACAGAGGGACTCCTGTGATGACAGACTGCTTAGGTTTTAAAGAAAGGCTGCATTCAACAGCAAACCTGAGCCTTTACCACAGAGAGTGCAGGAGGCTCAGGGTCTGAATGGAGAATGGAGGTGTGTTCCCATAGATGGGAACCTAAGAATGGGTCTTTTCATATGGCTCCTCATTCACCAGGATGGAGGGAAACGTGGCGGGCGTCAGTGTTTTGGGCACGTGAATCTCTCAGTTTGAAGTTTCTCCCACATGATAGAGATTAGGAGCCGAGAGACCGCATGGTCTTGTGTTTCTGCCCGTCTCCTTCCTCCTCTCTCACACATGTTTGTCTTGTTAATGATGAGGAAGACGAGGAGGAGGAGGAGGAGGAGAGGAAGGGAGAAAGAGTGCAGGAAGAGAGACACATGCCGTTCTGTTCCTGTCAGAATATGAGACACGTGAGGTATGAAGGAAGGTGAAGGCCTGCAGGCTGGGTGGAGGCTCGGCTGGATGGAGGACCAGATGCTGCAGGAGACTGTGGTTATGTAACAGCTGGACGCTGATGCTTCAGGTTTCAAGGCCAAGAGAGAAACTGACTCCTTCATTTGATTTAGTTATTTATTTTGAGTTCCAAATTACAGGGAACTTTGCAAATACTCTCACAATAATTACACACTCATCGAGCACTTTATTAGGAACACCACACCAACACTGAGACGTTCCTGCCTTTGCTCTGCAGCAGCCTCAGTTCTTCATGTCATGGATCTTTCCTCTGAGACTCCATGTTGACATGATTCTGCAGATTTATCAGCTGCACATTCATCTGGTTGAGAGCAAAGAAAGACTCAGTGTGAGTGTGGTGTTCCTAATAAAGTGCTCGCTGGGTGTGAGATGTGGGCCGGTGTGAGACACTTCTCTATACTCAGTGTTTCACCTGCAGTAGGTTCAGATCAGCTCCCAGTTTATAGAAGCAGCTGAGTGATGAGCTGCTGAGGACGGGGTCATCTGCAAAAAAACACGTTTTAGCAACTTTAAAAAATGACCACAGAAAAAAGCTAATATCAGTTACTAGTATTCCTCCACAGATCAGCTGTTTGAGACAGACAGAGCTCAGTGTAGGTGTGTTAAAGGGCTGTTTGATGGCAAAATAAAGCAGCGAAAATTTTCAAAATAAAGCGTACACTTAAACTGATATTAGTTTTTTTCTGTTGTCATTTTTTAAATGGTTAAAACATGTTTTTGCCGATGGAAGCTCATCACTCAGCTCCTGCTGCGTCTCTAAACTGGGAGCTGATCTGAGTCTACTGCAGGTGATACACTGACTGTAGATCAGCACCTCACACACTCCCACATCAAATAATCTGAACTGTCACATTAAGAACAATTCTTCCTGATCATGTGCATTACATGTGTGTAGTGCTGCTGTTGTGATACACTGTACATATCTACAGTGGGACCTCTGGTACATCCAGCTTTAAAGGGCAGGACATGTTCAAACTGAGGGAGACTCTACAACGCGTCATCTGACCACAGGAAGTGGTGTTTAAGTGTTTAGAGCTGAGACGAAAAGACAAAGACACTCAAACTGAACAACGACAGACTTTCAGAAAGTGTCTCCTGAAGGATTTCTGTTACAAACAGAGACAAAAATATTTGGGTAACGAAGGAACAAACAGAACTTCAGAGAGAAGTTTAAATCCTGCTTCACGTCTCCAGACAGACGGACACTCGCTGCGGGAAGCAGCACCTAAACTCCAACATCAGAAAGGTCGACCAATCACACCACAGCAACAAGTGGCGTGAGATGATCTCAGTGAAACTACTTGGATGTGGCGGGTGCTGGTTAGTTGTTGCCTTCACTTAAACTGGGATCTAGTCTGTGTTTCCCATGAACCTTTAGACAAATGTTACACGACTTCTTCTTCCCTGAAAACAGCAGGTCTGAATGAAGAAAGACGTCTGTGCTGAGGAGAGGAAGCCATGTTGAGAAGGAGAAGAATGCGAGGGATGAAAAGAGAAGGAATGTTTGGTTTCGTATAGAGCAACATGTGGGAGGTCCCGTCACGCTCGTGTTATTATCTCCTGCTTCACTTGGTTGGAACAAAAGAGGCTTTTGGTTTTGCTTTCCACCGAACACTTAATTAATCATGACTTAACTTTTAAAGATCAAACGTACAGAAGGAACAAAGAGGAGAACAGAATCAGCTTTGTTGGTTTGTTGAGTACCGGACACTTTGATTAATTGGATTAACATAAAAAGGACGAGAGCTTTAAGGGACAAAAAGTCAGACGGACGAGGACGTACTGAACAAGACCTGATGAACTCCTGCGGTCACCGCTCTGGAGCCTTCGTTTATCACATGTGGTAAAGTAGAAAACTACAAGAAACTCCTGAGACAAACACAACAGTGAGAACTGCAGTGAATTTTCCAAGAAAATATCAACGAAGTGGAAGATTTAACTCCTACAACCTGATTCTGAACTATTGAACCGTTTTGGGAATCACACAAGAGCATTTTCAGTTTCTTGAAACTGAAGATGAGAGTTCAAGAGATTTGATCATTTCAATATCACTGAATTTCCACATAAAGCTGCCTCTTCCTCTGTGTGTGTGTGTGTGTGTGTGTATGTGTGTGTGTGTGTGTGTGTGTGTGGCCAAGTTTCATTCACAAATATGTTCCTACACACTCATTTCACACTGAAACAATAGAAGAAGTTTCAACAGACCAGAAACACACTGTGAAGAGGGTGAAGCTTGACAGGAAGTTTAAATACTAAAAATGCCTTTAAAAAGTAAAGTGATCTATGACTTGATGTGTGATGTGTCATACTGATGATGATGATGATGGTGATGGTAAAGTAATTGAAAACATTCAGGAGCTCCTCTGGGAGTCGCCCGCGCCGCCGTTCCACTGCTGAACCCACGTGAATTATTACAGTTACAGTCGAGTAACAAAGTGCCATTCACACGGCGGCTGCGCCCAGAGCCCGGATCACGCTTCAGCCTCCGTCATTCCACAGAGTATCGGGTTGAAAGCTGCTTCTCAAAGGATCAAATGGGAGGCAGACGGTGTTTCACCGCTGCTTTCTCTCACAACACCGAGGCCTCGGCTCGCGTGTCCGTTCTCCAGGAAAAACATCCTCCTGCTCACTTCACTCCGTCTGTCACTCCACAGCTCGCCGGCCTCTCTTTCAGGCATTTACACTTTGTTCTCCACTCGTGTTTCATCACCTCTCACAGTGACACTGAACACATCATGTGTCTGTTTGCCACAGAGATCAGTGATGTGAAACTCAGCATGAAGTCGGACTTTACAGTTGAAGGTTTGTTCATTCAACCGTGAAACCATCAGACTTTCTACTGAACAATGTTACTGCTAATGAAAGTCTGTTGCTGGTACATTTCATTATTGTACATATTATTATTGTGTTATGGCCCAGAGCCACATCATTAACACTGTCTCCACAAGCACAAAGACTTTCCCCACAGAGCTACGACGTCAGAAACACTGTATTATTCCTCCTGACTTCACCAGGGAAAATTCATAATTATAAGGCAAAATTTATTAAATCAAGTCGCTCATTTAAGTTGTTTCTATTTGATCTCAAACGTTACTCTGAGTCTCTGAGACAAGAAGTCCATGTCAGCGTCACTTCCTCTGAAATAAGATGAATAATAAGGGTGATATGTGTGTATCATGTGTTTCTAATGATCCTGTTGACAGGTGGTTCTGACAGGATTTGCAGCGTACCTAATATTCTGATCCAATAGACATTATCAAAGATTAACAGGACACAGAGGGAAACTGTGGCTTCCCTGTTGCATAGTTCACTGATACAGGATCAATATTGATCTATAACCCCAACCTCAGCCTCCTGCTGTGAGCTCCACCTGATGATCAGACTTCACCTGAGGACAGTCGCTCGCGTCACATGAAGAGGTGGAAATTGGCTCTGGTGAACTCCTGATGGATGGTCTCTAACAGGACGTCGTCCTCCTGTCCTCCGCCCGTCCCTCCTTCCCTCTTCCCTCCTCCACCTCCTCCTCCTCCTCGGACAGGCGCCGACGGGTGGAGCTCGGGGGTGTAGGTGAAGCTGAACGTCGTGCGATAAATCAGGCCGTCCAGTCGGATGAGGGACAGGGGGACGGTGATGACGCGACGCAGGCAGCGCCAGCCGTCGCTGAAGACGGAGACGTCAGGGACGACGCAGAGCAGAGATTTGGGAGACCTGAGCAGAAACAGACGGATGAAAGTGAGAAGATTTGTGATGTGATGTGGCGACGCTGAGTCGACCTGGAAAACAGCTGCAGGTGAAAGACGTCGACCCGACAGAGAATCATCAGAACCATCAGCCTAAAACTTTGTTGTTGTTTTTCATTATTATCTGAGTTCAATAAGAAATGACATCGACAGGAAACCTTCCAAACACAACACAGACTACAGCGACCAGAGGGAATCCACAGGGAGCACAACAACCTTACACTTCACACACATTATAATTCTTATTTCTATAAAGGCTCATAAATCAAGAGTCTGTTTCTTTTTTAAATAGTTTCTAAGTATAAAATATAAGTAACATACGTCTTCCCTTTAATGTCATAAAAAGCCTAATTAAATGTTAAATAATTAGAAGCTGCAAATAGTGAAAGAATGATATAAGTGCTATAGTGTGACCTCCACCTGTCTTTTCTATTGGTGCCTAATAAACAAAGTCTTCGAACACACAGATTAAATATCAACAGAGAGGGAAGAAGATCACAAGACTAACATAAAAATGACATTTCACTCCTCATCTCCTGCTTCCTCTCTGGGGTAAAATTCATTCTGTACAGCATTGACTTCAGCTGTAAATTATACGAACATTTATGAACCAACTCGACTTCACTGTTTGCTTCATTTCCAGATGCAGCAGGCAGATGTTTTCAGAGGGACAGCTGTAAAGAGCCACTGTCCAGACAGACTCAGTCAGAGAGCAGCAGGTGAACATAGTGGAGCATTTAGCAGCTAAAGAGCCAGATGTTTCCCTCAGGAGCTGGAGACCAAACACACAGCTCAAAGAAAGAGACACAAACACCACAACATGACTGTTTGTGCCAAATTTAAGTAAAGTTACAGTTCCCTCAAGGCGTTACTGAGATACCGTGTTCACAAGGCCAAAACCATGATTCGTGAGGTCACCACGACCTTGACCTTTGACCTTTGAATGAGACAGACAGCCCAAAAAACATTACAGCTCTGGCTCTGACTGTCTGTTTAAAAATGATAAACTCTAGCGTCCCAGGAGAAAATGACATTTAAGTAGTAACGCAGTTTAACTGTATTTATACAGCACATTTATAAACAGAGACGTTCAGTGTAAATGTTCATTAGAAGGAGAAAAATAAAGCAACAGCACTGAGAATAGTGAAACTGCAGATAAGTAGATAATGACATGATTATGTGACAGACTAAACAGAGTCGTGTGGCTGATATGAAACACCAGCGAGCAGCAGACATCTTGAATGCCCCTTTATAAGGTGTTCCATTCAAACCCATCCTACACCTCTGGCTCTCGTGGCAGTGAGGGATCAGGTTCCTAATTGGCTGCAGCTTCTCGTACAAACAGCACATTGTGGATGACTGTTACACAAACACGGCTTTCCCCTGCGCTGCCGAGCCGCTGCAGACGGGAGGGATATTTGCAGAACCTCGTGGCGAGCCGCTCGCAGCCAGAGACCCCGGCATACGATGTCTCAGCACTTCAGGTGTGGGATCTGAGGTGGATTTTGACGTCAGAGACGGTATTTGGCTTCGGGATGCGTCATGTGAGAGTCTGTGAGGGGACGCCTGGATGTCAAGTTTCTGCAGAGCCCCGCTGTAACATACAGACTCCCAACACAAGAGTTAGAGAGAGGATTGTTCCTGTAAGCTGGGCTCAGTACAACATAAGCCCCTTTATGCTTCTCAGGTCTGTCCACACGGATGAACACGGGTAAATAGGAAAGTTCAGTAAATGAATGAATGAATATTTGTGGTCAAACTTGTTGGGAAAACCAAATGATGTCCAGAATTTGTCCTGAACAAATAAGGAGATTTTTTTTTTACCTAAATGACGCCAGAACAAAACTGTGAAACAGTGAAGAGGTGAAAAGGGAATAAAGACGATTGATTTAGTTGATTAATCTTCAGTCAACAGAAAATCAATCTACAGTTATTTTCATAACCGAATCATCATTCAAGTGTTCATAATTTGTTTGGCTTGAAAAATTCAAGCCAAACAAACCAGTGTGAGGATTAATCTCATACTTTAACATTCTGAATTATATTATGAATTATATTTTGACACATTGTAAGTCGTATGACAACACATCCTAAATGTGAATACGACGTTCTTTCTGAAACATCACATGATTCTCAGCAGAGTGACTCAAGTCTGTTGCGTTTTATTGAAATTCCTCAACAAACAGCAAAATAACTGCTTTTGAAATCTGGGTCAAATGAAATATAATTTGGGTTCAAACTGCTTGGTTACATAATATTTGGTCTGGAGGTGCCACTTAATATTTTTTACGTGAAAATGCCATAAAAATGTTCATATTTGGGTCAACTTTTATGAGCTTCACAGACCCGAGCAGTCTCACTTAAACAAGACTTCAGCTTTAATTTGCCCCTTGTGCTGCTCAGCTCCACACCTGGTGCCTCAGTGGTGAAGCAGCACGAGAGAAAAAGGCATGAAACAGCCATAAATTGAAAAATAGGGCGTCTCAGGCTGAGAGTTAAACAAAGACAGAAGTTGAGAGATCAACTTTTATAACCAAGAAAATGGATTCGGGGTCAATTTTTGAACGTAAAGAAACTGACTTTTATGACACTTTGAAATCAAACTGATAAAAAGTAAAGAATTAATTTTTTTTTACCAGTTTCACAAACAGACCTTTTAGACAGATAGATAGATACTTTATTTATCCCCTAGGGGAAATTCATCTAAAGAAAAACAAACATTTTAAAGACGTATCTTTTGCCCATCTGTCTATTATTCACTTTTCTAACTCACTTGAACATGGTCTCGGCCTCGCTGTTGCCAAACCACACTTTGAGATGAGGGCTGAAGTTTTCTCCATGGATTTCCAGCATGGCAACGTGTCCTCCACCGTTCACCTGGACACACACACACACACACACACACACACACACACACACACACACACACACAAAATTCAAAAAGTGTGATGGCTTCATTTTCGGCCCCTTACGTTTGGGCAAAGTGCCGAATGTTTACGATGTCTGGCTCCGCCCCTGCTTTGAGATATTGTTCAATCACAAGCTTAACACCCTGCCTTACCTGAAATCACCTGTCATCCTATTAACCACACCCAGGAAGTTTTATAACCCCACCCTTCTGTCTGCGAAGCCCTTTCCCTCCAAACCACAGAGAACAAAGAACCACTGTGAGTTAAAGAATGGACTTTTCAAACCTCATGTTATTTTACTTGGTTTAATCCACTCAAGGCAAAGAAAATACCAAGATGGTGGATGCATAAATGAAGTAAGTGGAAGTGATGTCAGCTTGATTTCCTCTATTTTATTATTGTTAGTACTTATTTGGTCTTTATGTACTTTGATGTCTCTCATCCATTGACCATCGACCTGACTGTCTTCAACTGTAACAAATGAAACTGTTGGAGCGGCTCCTGAGTCTCGATGTAAACTCCACATCAGATGTTGAGTGAGACAACGCCACCGTGACTGTAGTTTTTACAGATCTGTTCACGTAATTAATGAGTGATTCTCAGTGATTTCTTCCGATGTAACATTTACATGATCTGTAGTTAAATGGCTAAAGATCCCACAGCAGCTCATCGTTCAGCAGCTGCACCTGCTTGTTGTTTTACGTTGAACCTAGGCGTTCCCTTTCTCTCTGGTTGGCTGAGTCTCTGTTAAACTTGAACGTATGTTCTGAGGAGTCGGTTCAGTTCCTCTTCTCTGGTGCCTCGGACCTCTGAGCATTTTGTAGAAGAGGAAGCTGCGGTCGAAGAGGCTGTAGCAGTTTCTAAAACATCAAGTTTAATCTCATAAATATTATGAATTGAAAGGAGTTCCTGAAATGAAGCAGAAGTGAAACAACTTCACTCTGTGTATTAAAGTTAATGTGTCTCAGCACTCTGTTAATGCACATTCAGGAAGTTTGTTTTTTATTTTCAAACCAAGAACCAAAAAACGAAAAAAACGATGGGATTTCCGTTTCTTCTTTTTAAACCAAAAACCAGAAAAACTTCACATGAGAGCCGTTGTAGAAGCTGTGGTGTTTGTTAATTCATTTTTTTCCATTTTTCTTTGTTGAATTAAAGAATGAAGAAGTGAAGTCAGGTAAAGGTTAATATTTCAAAATAAAAGCCAGAGGGATAGCGTGGCCATCAAGTGTAAAATTATACACAGACGTTGATGATGTGTTTATTATTTGCTCATTTCAAGAACTCACTCTCTATGAATTGTCTGTAGACTCGACCTGAGAGGCTACTAATGTGTGATATAGTGACATTATATGGTTGTTCTGTTCTTTATGATTAAATAAACGGCCTAAAAGCTGCCTATTGAAAACATGAGAACGATCAGTACCACTTTGGTGGATGTCTGGCTGAGGACTGATGAAATTTAGAATCGAGGTTGTCGATTGTCAACAAACAACAAACAACCAACAACAGCTCTAAAACGTGAACGTTAGCTCCATCATGTGGTAGAATATTAACTTGTTATTTGTTGAAAGGGTGAACAATAATCTGGTGACATTGAGCGCCTCTGCTGGTCACTTTAAACAACACTAAACGTTTCCACATATTAATTCACACATCTGATAGAGTATTTATCATTCGTCTTGATGCGAAACAAAAAAGATCTTTATCTGTATGTGTCTGTCCGTGCTTAGATTATGTTACACTTTATAGAAAGGCCACTCTTTCCTCTTTGCTTTTATTCTGAAATATTTACCTTAACTTCCATTCCTTCCTTTCGTCATTCTTAAATTCAAAATGAAGGAAAAAAGGAAGGAAAAATGAAAAATAAAGAAATTTGCAAACATCAGAACTGGACAATTTCTTCCAATTTGATGTTTCTTGTTTTTTGCTTTGAAATAACTGACAGTAAAAACGGAAAAATTTATTTTATTTTATTTGTCCTCAGTCACACTGACCCTCTTTCATTTTCATTACACTGAGAAACACCCTGAGCGTCAGTGTGTGTGTGTGTGTGTGTGTGTGTGGTGTCTCAGTACCTGTGTGATCCTACTCACCTCTAACCCTGTAATAACAGGAAAAGGACTGACTGGAGTCTGGATGCAGGCCATTCCCTGATTAAAGGTGAATTCCACTGTTTCCACTCCGATGATGGTCCAGCAGGATCCGTCGTTCAGCACCTCTCTGCTGGGGTCTCTGACGCTGGAGGGAGCCTGAGAGGACGGAGGACAGAGGAACAGAGGAAGAAAGAGCGAGAGAGGGGAGGTGTGATTAGCGCCTGGAGGAACAGATGGAGGAGAAGGAGGAAATAAGAGGAGGATGGAGTGAGGACGAGGCAGTCTCACCTGGTACTGTATGATGGTGTCATTAGATAGACACAGGTAGGCGTGAGGATTGTCTCTGAACTGGAAGGCGCATTTGTGAAGCTGAGAAACCGGCTCGTCCACGTCTAAGATGGCGTACTGCTTGTTGACCTTACGAATCACCTGGTGGCATTTACCAGGATGAAGAAAAACAAAACCAATAATTAATTATTTACTTCTTCAATATATTTCTTAATTTATATCTAATCAAAATCTTTTTTGTCATAAATTCATCACTAGAGTCTACAGTCATGCTAGTCATGCTAACATGCACACGACGACAATGCTAACATGCGGATGTTAAGCAGGTGTTACGTTCTCCATCTTAATTTGGTGTGAGTGTGAAACTCAAACTGCAGGTGATGATGATGATGACGTCATTGGTTCTGCAGGTATTGGGTCATAAACTAAAGTACTAGACCAGGCCTGGCCAACCCGCGGCTCTTTGCCCGGTTTCATGCGGCTCTTACGTTCATGTCGAATTTTGTGTTTTTATACAGTGCGTGCATCTGACGCAAATGACTTGGCGGGAAGAACCGTTGAGTAGTGTAGGCCTACCAAGAAAAAATGCACAGCAAAACAAAAATATGAAGATGAACACAGGACGTTTTTAACAGAGTGGGAGAGTTTATTTTTTTGACTGAACCTGACCCTGCAGGGTAAGTCAAAAATGCTGCCTGACCTGGTGCAAAGTGTGTTTGCGTTTGCCAACAAACTGAAGCTGTTCAAGACGCATATTCAGAAGAGAGATTTAACGCATTTTCCCACTCTGCTAAAAGCCAGCGGGCAAGTCATCGGCGCTGTCCTGAATAACCAAATAGCCAGATATGCAACAATGGTTGAAAACCTGCATGAAAGCTTTGTGACCCGGTTCCGTGATGTTCAACTGAAAAGGCCACAGATTACGTTCCTCGTCGACCCGTTTAATGCGGAGACGGGCTGTTTGAAAACCCTGCTGGTCACAGATGAGGCTGCGGCTGAGTTGGAGATGATCGATCTTTGTGAAGAGGACCAACTGAAACCTGCTTTGAGAGAAGGGACTGAATTCTGGAAAAGTGCGCCAATGGAAAAGTACCCAAATGTCAAACGGGCTGCGCTTAAGATATTGTCAATGTTTGGATCAACATACGTCTGCGAGTCTGTTTTTTCTACCCTGAAACACGTGAAATCAAAGCATCGATCTGTTCTGACAGACACACATGTGAAGGAATTGCTTCGAGTGGCAACAACTGACTATAAACCAGATTTGAAAAGGACTGTTGAGGGCAAGGAATGCCAGAAGTCCCAGAAGTCCCGCATGGCAAGAGAAAAAATGCTATTGTTAATTATATTTTTGTTTGTAGACATGAACTGAACATTGAACTGAGAGTTTGTTTGTGAGACAGTGCACACAGAGTTCATTGTTGAAAATGACTGGCCTGTGGTCTTACTTCTGTGGGAGTCAATTTTTGTCATTATCATGTTGATGTGTGACATTTACAGTAAATCTGGCTCTTTGCAGTAACACAGTAAAAATTGTGGCTCTTAGTCTCTGACTGGTTGGCCACTCCTGTACTAGACAAATAAAAACGTTGACCTGTCGGTGGCACTAGAGGATCACCAGCGTTTCTAAGATTCATCCTCTGGGGACCAAGAGTGTCCGTCTATGGATCAACACTTCAAATAAAAAACAGGAAAATATGGGACCTTTAAGACCAAGAGTCAGGTCAAAGGTCACAGTAGTCGTCTGGCTGAGAAAACAATGTACAGTAGACAGAGCAGCAGAAACACACCAGCTTCCTGCAGCTCGCTGACACAGAGATTTTCAAAAAGCTGCACAAACTGTCCATCGACCAGGTGGTCTGTACGTCGCTGGAGGTTTCAGTGAGTGACTTCTGGTCCTCAGGCCCCAACCCTAAGAACCGACACACCAACACACCCCAACCTGCACCGCACGCAGAATATTAAACACCTTGTTCTCATATTTAAGTCTATTCACAGCTGCTGATGCAGCTCAACGTTTTGTTCTGTACATCTTCCTTCAGCTCCTCAGTCCTTGAGCGTCGACCACAACCACACAACCGACAGAGCTGCTCGTCACGCAAAGGAAAAATCCTCTATCTTCAAACAAACCAAGCAGCAATAGGCCTCAACTATGAAAACATGTAGAGGTGTAGTGTGCAGCTATACATTCACCTTCCACCACCAGGCCGGCGGCTGAGGTTGTTATGACAGCAGTTTAGGAGGTGCTGAGAAAGAGTCTGCTCAGCGAAATGTGAGGGATTCTGCTGAGAGACGTCTCAGTGAAACTTAAAGTGGATGATGGGAGGAACAATAACAGCAGTTTGGGGATTAGCAAGTTATGTAACAGCTGCACAGACACATCTGTAAGACATACAGGGTGAGAGTAGTGATTAAGCCTCTGACTCTGTGATTGGAACAGAGTGTGAGAACCTTTTCCTGTGGTTATAAACAATCATAACGGGCTTGTTTTTGATATTTCTGTTATTACCTTGTTGTTACTTTCCCTGCCTCCATGCTGCCCACACAGTCTAACCAGGTAAAAGCTTCAGTGGCGTGGGGAAAATTATGGAGGAGGCCAAGCCTCTATGTATGTAAAGTAACAGCAGGCTGCGTGGAACAGACACATGACTTACAAACTCTGTCTTCTGTGTTTGGCAAACACAACTATTTTTCATATTCACGTGTCGTTTAACTTCCTAAAACGCCGTAACTGCACAAACCGATGTTGTTGAGTCAGCGGTTATCTCTTATATTTCAGTGTCAATGATTTTCAACATGATTTGGTAGGACCGGGGGGGTGGGGGGTGGGGGGTGGTGGCAGCTACAGAACATTTACTGAGGCGAGTGTTTTTATTAAAATGACAATGACAGTCTGTAAAACAGGCGTGGCTTCCCCCGGCCGCCGGGAGAAAAAAACGCTGATGGAGAGTTTTCCTCCTGCTGGATGAAACAATATCACATGATTTCATTCTATAATAAATAACAGCAGCGTGTGAGATGGTGGGAATTCAGTGTCGTGCTCAAGGTCAGCAGAGTGTGTATTTACAGTCACGGGAAGTTTCTAAAAACCTCCATTTTCCTGTTTTAATTTCCTGAGCTGAGCTGTGAAGGAATTTAACTGTTGTGAGAACAGACAGTGAGACTGAGTTCATCACAGTCATTTTTATGGACTTTGTTTCGCTCGTCAGTGTAAAATTGAAGAGGAACATGATCAAAGACATATTTTCTATAAGTTACTAAAAGACATCAGGAGTGAAAACCTGAGGGAAAATGTGTGAAGAGGTTTGAATGAGTTTATCTCATCAAAATGAAGTGATGTTATAAAAGACAAAACCAAAGCAGAAAAAACTGATGATTTAACAGTTTAACGTTTGTAGCTGCTGACGACTGAAGAGATTAATGAACATAACGAACAGCCTGTGGCCTCCAAACATTTAAAGTGATATAGTATAAAAGACATACCATAAATACCGAATAACAGAAGCATAGATCCTTATAAAGCATTACGTGTGTGTGTGTGTGTGTGTGTGTGTGTGTGTGTGTGTGTGTGTTACCATGGGTGGCAGAGCGAGTCCAGACTCAGTACACACTAACTGGACCACACAGCCGTAACAGATGAAACCTTCGCTCAGCACAAAGTCTCCTTGGTCAGCACGCTGGTCCTCCACTGCACGCACACACACACACACACACACACACACAAAACTATGTATGAATATTCATATATATTAATGGTCAAACTTCCGCTACAACACACACACACACTTTGTTTAGATCTCTGCAGAAAGTCGTTACAGACTCAGTAAAATATTTTCTACTATGATTTAATTTGGAAACAACTGATAATACAGACAAAAAGGAAGTGCATGTGTGTGTGTGTGTGTGTGTGGTGATAGCAGAGAGGAGGGTGCAGACAGATGAATGACTGAGGTTTAGGTTTTGGTGGTGGGAGGTCCGTGCACACACACACTGTGTAAAATAAATAACCTCACAGATCTCTGCGCAGGCTTTTCCAGACGAGTGTGAGGGAAACACTGGTGAATAACTGCTCACACTGACTGTATTTATGCAGGGTGGCCGTGTGGGGAGAGAAGCCGTGTGGTGACTGGACCGTACGGGTTTGATGCCAGTGATGAGCACAAGGCTTGGACGATAGCCAGAAGTTAACACGTCGATACAGAAACCAAACATCGCGGTGCACGATACTATCGAGGGATTGTTGTATTTCATGTTTCAGTTGTTTTTTGTTTTTAATAATAAATTTTTCTGGTGTTTTTTATTATTTCTAATCATATTATTGTATTTTATGTTTCAGGTAAAAACAATGCTGCTACTTATGGTTTTATCTGTCACATGTATGTAACAGTCGAATGAGGGTCAGACTCGGTAAAACTGCAAAAAACAAACAAACAAAAACAAACAAATAAAATTTGGTATTATGAAAAATATGGTATGGGGGGAAATAATAATGTGATATTCAATAGTATCAAATATCAGTCCGAGCCTAATGACCACTGGTCAGTCTCCTCTGCTGACTCCTGAACCAGGGAAACGTGACACCATGGTTACATAGATGTCACGTATGTGAAGAAAAGTTTATAGTTGTAGTGAGGAGACACAAACTCCTGCTGATTCATTTTCTGACTGTTCCAGGTTTGAACAGCGTGACTGTAATAAAACGTCTATGAGGCAGTAAATAAAGCTCATTTATAGTTTCAGACATTTGACAAAGAAAACAGAACATTTAATACTAATATTATACATTTTTCAAATTGTGAATATTGTATTATATATATTTATATTATATAGACAAACTAAAATCTTTCAAATAAACTCAATATTGATTCAAGAGTAGGTTCACCCTCCAAGCATTTAAAGTAGAATCACCTCCTCGTGGTCGTGGCCACACGTCACATCCCTGTTTATCCAGAGTCGTGTAAAATATCAACCATTTGTAGGACACTTTGTTATAATTGCTTTTGTCTTGAGTAATGGCTGAAAAGTGTTTTGTGAGGTAACACTGACCTTTGACCTTTGACCACCAAAATCTAATCAGTTCATCCTCGAGCTGAACGTTTGTACCAAATTTGAAGAGTTTGCCTGAAGGCGTTACTGAGATGTAGAATAAGTTGTATGTACACAAAGTCTCCTGCTCTGACTGTCGCCGGCACAGAGGAATATAAAGAGTCAGGCCGGGTTCAGACCAGGGCTGCTGAGCGAAGGTCTCAGCCTCAGTATCAACCTAACCAGGTGAGCTACTCTCAGTCATGTACTTGTGAAGACTTGCTAACATTATCAGCTGGTATGTAGGAAAGCACCGACCACAGTCCTGTCTGTCACGTCACAGTTAGAGAGGAGATTCAAGCTGCTACATACGAACTAGTGTTTAGCTTTTAAAAGTATGTGTGTTGTACGAACCTGCAGCAAGAATCTGTGATGATTCAGAAGAAAATTACTTAGTGTTTCTTTAAGAAAATGACATTTTATGGGATTTCTGGATCATAAATCATCTGATTTTGATTTAAAGTCAGACTGACCACACTGTGATCTTTACAGTACACATTGCATAAATCAGTGTGTGACTAAGAAGCTGTGAACATACAGTGAACACACACACAGGTTGTGACACACACGTTTACCCATGGTGATGGTGAAGGCTGTCCACTGTCGGGCGCTGGCCACAAACGCTCCTCTGTCCACGGAGAGGTAACGAGTGCTGACCGTCTGAGAGCGGAGACGGTTGAACAAAGCTACTCTGGAGCACGAGGAGATACACACTGAAAACACACACACAAAGACACACTGTGAGGGAAACTGAAAGTTCAGTGCGTGCGCGCACACACACACACGCACACACACACACCCACACACACACACACACACACACACTCATGCACATTCAGAGTCTCCCACAGAAACCTGAGTGATCTGATGTCACCTGAGCTGCAATCTCAGCTGTCAGGATGATGTTTTCTTTTAGTGTGTGAGTGTGTGAGTGTGTGAGTGTGTGTGTGTGTGTGTGTGTGTGTGTAGGTTTTGGATGACTCAATCAGACCCTGTGACCTGCAGTGACCTGACCGGGCAGGAAGTCATGACATGTAACAACCAGCCATCAGTCACTCAGCTGAACCTGTAGATCAGATTAAAGATGTACCTGATTAACGTCGCCGTGACGAAGTGACTTCCTGGTGTTATATGAACAAAACTGGATTCAAAAACATATGCTCATATTAATAATTTCCTTTTTGTGCAGTATAAAAATGCAAATGACTTAAATTATAAACTACTCTGTGATGTGCTTTTATTAATTTTATTTGGGCCATGCTTTTAATTTGTAATTCATTTCCTGTCCTGTGAACACTGTTTCTGTTCCATCCATTCACTCTTTGCTGTTTCTCTGTCATTTAGAAAACCAAGAAGAAGAATAGGAGACGCTCCAGCTGAAGAAGTCACCAACAGAAAGACTGACTCTTCTATGAAGCAGTCCCCTCGTATTTACAAAAACGTCCAAATTAATCAATTAAAAATGAAACTAAACTCTGACAGTGGCTAATTCCTTTTTTATGAATAAGATCATTGCAACGACTGACACTGTGTATTAACACACCTGGACTGAACCAGCTCCTCAGATTCCTGATTAACACATTTCATCTCGTTCTTTGACTCACGGTCGGCGTTCTTCATGGACTGTCTCTTCTGCGAGGGTTTGGAGATGACTTTGATCATTCTGCTCTGGAACGAACCCACTTCCTGTCTGTTGCCCAAGAAGAGTCGCAGCAACAGGCGGAAGTGTTTCCTCTTGTCCTGGTCAGAGATGAACAGGGACTTGGCACAGGCAAACATCTGCTGGACAGACAAAGGGACGGAGAGAAGACGAGTCAACGGGACTGACAATGTTTTCACACTGAGCAGAGCTGAAGCTTGTTTATGATGGAAGACGGAGACTCTTCAGGAATAATGTGCAGATGAAGAGATTTGTTGGTTTGTAACAACCAGTTTGTAAAAGACAAACAGTTTTAATAACAGGTGTCCTGCTGAGTTTTACTCCAGCCATCTGAGCGATGTGTTGCCTGGTGCTCTGTGCAGTAATGCAGATGCAGGACGTCTGTCTGTTGTGTTTTCTCTCTCCGGCCGGTGAACACACACAATGTATTTACAGCTGTGTAGTTTTTCTGTTTGAGGAGTCAACAGTCGTCTGTAATGAAGGAGGTGATCGTCTCGTCTGGGTAAACACATGGAGCTGACTGTCACTCACACACAACGGGCTTCAGGTCTGAGTTTAGCAGCAGCTTGGGCAGCAGCTGGTGGTTGAGCTCTGAGACGACTAGTTGTTTAAAATTGATTTTATCTCCAAAAGAAAATATTTATAATATTTATAATATGTTTGAATATTTGAACATCTGGATGTAAAGAAAGCTGTAAATGTTTTGTGTCAGTTTTGTTTCTGATGAGGAGTTATGTGCTTGGAGCAAGCAGCAACCTCCAGGGTTGAAAAATGAAGCATCAACAGTGAAGAACCAGGAGCTGCAGTTCCTCTAACGACCACTAGAGTCTGGCTCCAACAGTGAGTCAGTCCCCATAGACTCCCATGTTAAAGTGTCCAACTTTACAGCAGAAATAAACATGTTTACAGCCTGGTACAAAAACTGTTTTGGTCTCTAGAGCTAATTTCCTCCTTCATGACACCTGTTTATATAACTCACCTGTTTACATTTTATTAAGGACTAAAGTTATGGAGGATTGAGGGCGTGGCCTCTTTGACTGACAGGTGGGTGAGTGTATGCTTGCACTGAAGTCTCAGCTTCACACACGCCCCTCCTCTTTGTCTATCTATGATAATGTAAATATTGATCTCTATCCATTGTTTCAGAAAGAATGAATGTGGATGTAAAGAAAACTGTCTCCTCCTCACACATCACTGATCTCCTGCTGCCTGGAGAGGAACTTAGAGGATAATTAACTGGGACAAAGGCCAGTTTAAACTTCACAAAAATGGTGTCTCTATCAGTGAAGGACGCTGGCTGAAGACACACACGAAGACACACACACACACACACACGCACACACACACACACACGTCTCTCACCCCGGAGTTTGGCTGCTCATCGAAGATCAGTTTGAACGTGTCTGCCTGAGACTGCGTGGAGCTGTCCAGACACATGTAACCACACACTCGATACACAGCGTCTCCATAACCAGCGGCTGGAGGAAGACGACAGGAAGAGAAGAGAATGAGAAATGGAAGAAAAAATAACAACGGAGCGATGAAGAGGGGGGGAAACACAAATGAGGAACAAAGGGAAGAAGAGCAGAGCTTTTTAAAGAGTTATATTTAATATTTTCCTCCCACCTTTCAGATGGTCCTGCATGACCCTCCATCCACGGCCGCTGATGTAAACACAAGGAGGAGGGCAGAAGAACCTGCGGGTGAGATAATCATATTCACATGAACCTCAACTGTGTTGTGTTGAAATGCTTATATTTCATAAAACCTTTGAACAGCTCTGAAACTTAGGTCACTAAAACTGACGAGTAAAGTTTCATTTAAAGAACATGAATCTCTCCTGTTTATAATATTCAATCAACATCAATATTAGGAAACACATTAAAGGCCAGTTTATCAGTTCATCAGGCTCTGTCCTCATCCTCAGAGGTGACAGAGGTGTGTCTCTCCGCGGAAACCTTTTACCTTTTCTCGTTGCCGTAGGACTTCTGAGCCACCTTGGCGTGCAGGATGATGATGCTCTGGTCTGCATGGGCTTCTCTTCCTGGTTCCCTTGTCATTCCCAGTAACTGACAGCCTTGAAACCCCGGGTCCAGTCTCCTGATTGGACAAGAAAGCTGTGAGTGGCAAACAACCAGAGAATATACTGTATGTGTGTGTGTGTGTGTGTGTGTCTGGCTCATGAAAGTATCATGATAACGTGGCTCAATGAATTGTTTTCCACCACGTAAGTAATTCAGTAAACTTAACGTTGAATGTTGACCAACAGACGAACACTGCCACATAAAGGAAGAGAAAAAACCTATAAAGTTATATTCCATGATCACCTCTAATGTGATGAAGTTCACTGAAACAAATGAACGTTGGCTGAAACGCTCCAAATAAGTGGAAGTGCTGAGAAAGTCTGATGAGTAAACTAGACTTGAGTCTGTGTCTCAGACTAAACACTCAGTCTCAGTCTCATCTCCAGACACTGAACCCATCATCATAATGCACTTAGCAGCAAGTGAGACATAAACAGAGACGCGCCACAGATAGTTTCCGATGTGACGGGAGACGCAGGTATATGGAAGGATATGGTAACGCTGCATTACTGACACATTAAACAGTGGAGGAGTTATTTTTATATCTATTTATATATCATAGTTCTGTTACATGTGAACCTGCTGCGACTGACACGCTTTCATTTTAGTTATTTAAAGGTCTCATATAGTCTAAAGGTCTGTCCATGTGTAGTGTGATTATAGATCAGGTCTAGCTTCTATATTAATACTGTGAAAGTATCAAAGCCTCAGTCCACAGAGAAATGCACACAGCCTGTATTCAGAAACTGAGCCTTAAAACCAGCCGTCAGGACTTCTGGAACTTTGTGATGTCACAACAAAGCAGTCACCAAGCCCCGCCCACCTGGACCCACCATCCAAACCTTTGCAGGATTTGGTTTCTCTGAGTGTTTTTACCTGAAATCTGCTTTATTTTTATTGGATCACTCAGAAAACAGTCAGCCAATCAGAAGAGAGGCTCACAGCCTCCTCTCTTCTGATTGGCTCACCGACCTGTTGTTACTAGAGCTGCAGAGAGAAGCCTGAGAGAGGAGATGTAAAACTACACTGAGATGGTTTAAATATATCTTCTTGTGGATCAAGTACCTTTAATGTTACATATTACACAGACTGGATAATTTTATACAAATAAAAACAAACCTATCAAATTCATATTATTTTCCAGCATCATTAAATAACTATTCACTGTCAGAAGAATGAGTTTTTGAACATTTCTGTCTCTTTTTTTCACAGAATTTCTTGGTCATTTCATTTGTTCAAATTTATTCAGTTATTGTTTCCATCATTCATTTGCTTTACCTCAATCAAATGTACAATAAAAGGCCTTTACAGTCTTATTCCCTGTCATTAAATCTTGGACAGCGGCAAAGTGAACAGCAGGTGAGCCATCGACAGAACAAAGCTCGAGTGAGTGGAACAAAAGACTCCTGCTGCGCTAACCACCATTCAATTTATACACTGTCACTCATAATCATTTTTCTTTTTTAATCACAATCACAGACTCGATTTCCAAATGGATATGAACCTTATTTCTTTTTTTTTTTTAAATAAAATGAAAGCATTCAGTCTATGAATTTTCACTGTTGATATATTTGCACACAAACAGTTAAATTCCCATATAAAAATTGTAAGAACTTATTTTTCCTGCTTTTTAGATTTTATATAATTTACCTCAAAAGATTTTTCTCAGATGCTTGAATCAAATAAATAAATAAATAATGGCTTTAAACTGACACAATATTATTAAATTTTCTGCTCATGCTCGTGTCGACTGGCTCAAATGTGGGAAAACCCACTAGTTAATTCTTCAGTTTGAGCAATTCATTTAAAATAGTTCATTGGTTTTTTTCACGTTGCTGATTAGAATCAAGCAGAAACACAATCGACAAACTCATCTGTGTGATTAGATTTCAAATGTCCAGGCGAACAGCAGGTAAGTGACTGAAAGAACAGGAGCGGCCCCGTGTAGCTCCGCTAACAATGGCAGCTGTCACATTAGCTGCGTTTTCTCTCGGCGGTAACGATGTAATGAGGGGCCAGACGCAGAGTTACTGCCCCGGGGCCCGGGGGCAGGAATGCTGCTCATAATGAAGCCTGTTGACACGAGGGGAGGAGGGAGCGAACAGATAGAGCTGAGTACTGTGACCGATGACAACAACAATAAACTGAAACAAAGGACACGGGATGAAGACATGAATAAACATATGGGCATGATTTTTTTTTATAGTACAAGAATAAAAGTATCTTATTTCACAGTAAAACTAATCACCAGGATGAAGCAAAGATCTTCAATTGAAAAAGATTGACATACACATTTCCAGTTATTTTTTTTTAAGGAATAGTGCCACATTTAGGAAGTTTTTTTGCCTTGTGGAGAAACAGTCCGACACATAACGCCTCCTCCTAACATACAGCGAGCAAACTCTGGTGGATCGAGCCTGAACAACTGTCCAGATGCCAGATTAACGACGGATAAATCCCTCTACTGTTCAAGCACCTAAAACAGACTTTCAGAAACACAGCTGGCCCCGTTTTATTTTGAAAACTCTGGTGTTGTCGTCTGGACGGACAGAAACCGAGACCTTTTGAAATGATGACATAGACATCCACGGTCTCTCCTGATTGGCTCTCATCCGCCTGGACTACCAGTGGTGAAAACAACAAGATGATGGATTACAGTGTTACTGACGTTGTTGTCTTTGCTAGCAGCTGTTGTGGAGTTGAATTCTCTATTTTAACACTACAAAGGTTTTTTGCTGTTCCTCGTTCATGGTATTTTCTGCAATAATCAACTTCTTCCTCACGCCGGCTCGGTGTCCGTTACTGGTGACGTATGTCTGTGTTTTAAGGTGTGATAGTGTGGACGGAGATTGTTTTACGATACGGAGCTCAAATGGTTGTCTGGACGAAGATCGTTTTAATTTTAAAACACTGTTAATTTCTCCTTCTGAAAATGAGCAAGTTTGAATCATTTCCTCAGTTAGAATTTTTATTTTAATGATTTGTAGATTTTGTAAAGGCTCATTATACAGGCTATAACAAAGAGTGATATAAGAGTTACATTCTAGCATCTAGCTGCTAGTCAGGTTTAAATCCATAGATTTAAATAATTCAATCAATGATATAACTTAGAAAATATTTAAATAATTTAAAAAGTAAAACAAAGATCTCATGACTCATGACTGAAACTCTTTTACATTCAACAAGTATCATTGAATTTTGTGTCGTGAGTCCGAGTGAAGAGCAGAGTGACTCTGTAAAGCAGCAGGGTCCTGGCTTTAACAAGGACAACCCAGTAACACCAGACACACACACACACACACACACACACACACACACACACACACACACACACACAAAGTGGGTCAAAACTAAGCGACAGGGTTCATGTTCTCTTCTGCTCATAAAAACCAAAACGTCTTCAGGTTGTTCAGACTGAGCAGAATCAAACTCCGCTGGATTCATCGTCTCTTTTGACCCGTTTCATAGTTTTGGTTAAATAAAACGAATGCAGTATTTTAGTTGATCTGACACAAACCTGTGACAGTCAAACCACGCTGCAGCTATTTATACATATCTACAGTTTACACCAGACAAACGGAGCTTTACATTAAACTCTCAGATGTTTTGTTCTCTTCATGCAGCAAATTCTTGTTTTCAGGAGATAATGCAACAATTCATCTATTGTTTAAAGAACATGAAGCCAGCGATTGACAGGTAATTAAAGGTGGATTATTAAAATTGAAAAACTGACATGTTGATTAAACCCAAAAAGCTGAGTACTGTGCACTAAGCTGTAAACCAAGCTCCAAGCTTTAAGCCACACAAACGTCCTTCATACATCCAGTTACTGAGGTGGAAATACAACCGGTCCTAGTGTCTTTATTTAACAGAAGGACTGATCATGTTAAATCTCTTTATGAAACAAATTTTTATCGTAGAGCTTTTCCTGATTGTACTTAATCCATTGTCTGTTTTCTGATTCTGTTTTCGGCCAATAATCTGACTGACTGACTGACTGATCATATTTCCACCACTGGTCAGCAGAGTGCCGAGGATTTGACCAGAGGTGGTCCAGACATATACTGGGTTTTGACCTGGTCTTGTTACTGTCCAGATCACTCAGCTTTTATAAGTATGGTTTTATTGATTATTACTGATCGCCCTCTTGCTGGAGACACTGCCTTTGGTTTATTTGCACTATAATACTAAGACGCTTTAATAGTATTTCTCATTTGATAGTTTTAACTCTGTTGCCTTCTATGACCTGTGTCTTTTATTCTTTGTGTAAAGCACTTTGTAAAGTGGGTTTAGAAAAGTTCTCTATAAATAAAGATTATTATTATTATTATTATTATGTCATGCATTTTACGATTTGTCTCCATTTCCATTTCATACTTGTGCACAAAGTCACCCTGGTCGTTACTTAATCCTGCCGTCGACACAACACAAAGGTTCATGTATTCAGAGGAGAGTCTGTTCTCACTGTTTTCTTCATACATGAGGAGGATCCCACTGACCCTGTACACCTCTCTCCGCAGTTCACAGTTCAGGGTTCACACTTGACTGGCTGTGTGTGTGTGTGTGTGTGTGTGTGTGTGTGTGTGTGTGGTCAGTCACCGGGGTGCAACCACTGGTCTAAATTAGACTTTCCCTCTTCAAAGGTCAAAGGTCAGTGTGTCAGGAGCTCAGACCCTCTGGTATTTCACAGTGGGAACACAGAATGAACTGAGGACGGGACGGGGGGAAGGGAGGAGAGGAATTCACTTTCACCTCCAGAGAAAGTCCATCTCCTCGTCCAGAGTTTGTTCCAGTTGTGGCTGAACGTTGTAATGACTACAATCATGGTTAGGTTCGTCAGTGAGCACGACTCCACAGGTGTCAGCGCAGTTAAAAATGGACGAGGACAAGGCGCCCTAAAACATTCTCCAACCTGAGACTCATTCAGTGTCACCTTCAGAATAAGAGCAGCAGCTTTGACACAGGAAACTGACGAAAGCATCCTGTTCCTGTAACGTCGCTGTTCACCTCTTCTTAAAGTGATGGCTTTTGTTTTTCAGACACAGGTGTTTCATAAACGTTTGCTATGGCTTTAATGAGAAATGATACGTACAGAAAGAGACACAATATTTGTTTCCCACAAATTATGTTTCTATACAACTGCAGTGTATTTTGTTCATTTATGTTTTTGGCAAGTCACAAATATGTTGGTTCTGTGTTTTCTGTTCTCTCACTGGCCGCATCACTGATGGAATCTGAAACATGTGGATAGGTGTTTCTATTATTTTGTCCAACCCATTCATATCAATGAGATAAATAACAGAAACACCTGTCTGGATGATTCAGTCCAGTTCAACAGCACCGAACTGCAGTGATCACACAGATCAGTTTCTAAGTGATCCAATAAAAATATAGCAGATTTCAGGTAAAAACACTCAGAGAAACCAAATCCTGCAAGGTTTGGATGGTGGGTCCAGGTGGGCGGGGCTTGGTGACTGCTTTGTTGTGACATCACAAAGTTCCAGAAGTCCTGACGGCTGGTTTTAAGGCTCAGTTTCTGAATACAGGCTGTGTGCATTTCTCTGTGGACTGAGGCTTTGATACTTTCACAGTATTAATATAGAAGCTAGACCTGATCTATAATCACACTACACATGGACAGAGACCTTTACACTGGATGGAGATTTAATGTGAAGAGATAAAGGTGAAGATAAACACTCTATAATCCTCTATCCTCATAAATATAAACAGGTCTGGGATGAGTTTAGTAAAGAGTCGACAGTCTATCAGTTCAGGCAGAACTTGAACTACATTATTAAAACCAGATTTTGTGGCTCATTCTGAACAACTGACCTATGACAATAATGAAGGGCCACAAACAATCCACCTTAACTGCAGATGATAGGCCCATCAATAGTGATTCATGAGGATGAATGAATGCACTTCACTCATTATCCATTATATTGATTTTAATTGAGTAAAAGAACAGCTTTAAAATTTAAGACAAATTAGCATTAAAGCATTAAAGGGACATTTTAAAACAATACTGTAAATACTGATGTAAATACTGACGGTATTTTAACTTGATGCCACCCGGCCCCACCTCACCTCCAAACCTCTCCAGGCCGGTTTTCCAGTTTGGTTTCTCACTCCAAGTTGTTTGGATTTCAAAGGCAGGGGGGTGGGGTCTCTGCCTTCCCAAATACTTTTCCTCCTGGCATTTTAATACCTACACACCATCCCTCCACCTCCTCATTCCGCCAGCGAGTAAAACCCAGGGAAGGTCACGGAGCGACAGAGAGTCAGAGATCCGCCGCCCTCAACGCATTTTCACGTCCCCGCGCTCATTCCTCACGGCCCGGTGAGGGTTCCTCTGAGTCTGGGATAAACTGCTGCAAACCCCGATCTCACCTTTACTCACTCGGGACATTGACTGTGTGTGTGTGTGTGTGTGTGTGCTGCGGTACTTTCTGTTGCGGAGGTCTTGTTGTGCCCCGGCTGGTTTGCCCATCTTACCCGTCCCATCCGTTCCCGGTCCTCGGCGCGTCGTGTCCGGCCAGCAGCGTCCCCAGGTGAGTCAGCGGGCTGACCGGGTCTGGGGACAGAGCAGGGGGGTAGAGCAGCGCGGGCTCTGCCTGGGAGAGTCCCGGCTGGTGCATCGATGCTTCTGACAGGACGAGATTAAATAAACAAAGGCGCTGATTGTTACTGATAAAAAAGACGTTTTATATCAGAAAACTTTAATGATCATTAGATTTAAACTGGATTTTAAATGACATACAAAGAGAATAATAGAAGATATTTGCAGGATCACAGAGGATCTTAGTTATTAGGTGATAATTAATTAATCATTTGGGTGATCTTTTTTTTTTTTTTTTAAGTTATTTGTTTGGTCAGTTTTGTCCTTATGACAGGGACAGTGGGAGAGAGACGATGAGTCAGGGAAGAGAGAGAGAGAGAGGATGAGATGCAGCAAAGGGCCTCAGTCGGTTTTTGGGTGATTTAGATTTTTAAAGCAGAAACGTGAAACAATCAGCTGGTTTCTGCTTCTAAACTGTGATGATTTGCTGTTTTTCTTTGTCTGATCTGATTAGAAACGGAAGATCTTCAGATTACAGATGAAATAAAAACATTTGCATTGTGTCACTTTGGCTTTTTGGCATTTTCACTGTTGTCTGACATTTTATGGATGAAACAATTAATTAATGGAGGAAATAATTAGCAGCAGTGGAGCTGGGAGAGAGTGCAGAGGTACTGATGTGTATGATCTGGACACATCTGGATTGTTGGAAAAGCCATTTATCTGTCTGATTTTTCTTGAATGGGCTCTTTAGCAGTGAATTGAGGTGTTTTTTAAATTTCTTTGTATTTTTGCATAATTTCGCGCCTCAGTTCAGTGTATGTTTGAAATGAAGAGAGATGATGAAGGTTCACAGATAATAAAAAAGTCCTGTCAGCTGTTCGTCCTCTGATTCTAATGAACATGAAGTTAGAAAAGTCAGAAGTGGTGTTGGCAGGTTTAACAGTGGATATGAATGTGAGTGAGTGAGAGTAATGCTGTGGGTTCACACTGGTTGCCTGGAGGTGACGTTCTGTGCAGTCGGTCAGAAGCAGCAGTGAGCAGACAGACAGGTAGACGGTCAGTGAGACAGTCAGATATACAGTCACACAGGCAGACTGGTAGGAACACAGTCTGAATAGTCAGACTTACTCTGAGCCTCCCTTCAGTCCCAGACCACCTCTGAACCATGAACAACAGTCAGTAACAAAGACACCTGCTGAGCCACGAGGAATCATGGCTCATGATGTGGTTTTAAAAATGCTGTGAGTGAGTGATCAGAGGCTGAGACCTGTTCAAATACACAGCAGTGGAAACACAGTCAGTCATTGTTGTTGAAGCAGAGAAATGATCCTGATCATCAGGAAGAGTCACTGAGCTCTGCCTCAGGAAGACGCTCTGCTCTGAGGTCTCTCTCTGTTGTTCAGCTCTTTGTTGAATTTTAATTTTCACTGTGAACTGTTGTTGAATTCTTCCAGAAGACAAACAGCTGCAATTGTTCAGTCAGACATGTTTTTTTTTTTTAGTTTGAAAAACTCTTAATTTACCCAGAATTCATGGAGAATAAGTGGTAATTTAATTAGTTAAGCAACAGGCAGGTTAGTGTGATGGATGAATCTATCTGCCACAGTCAGAGTCTGTCTCTGTGGATCGGCTCCAGGTCGGTACAGTCGGTTACACAGACAGATAATGAAGCAGTCAAACAGTCTCAGAGTCCGTCAGTCATACAGGAAGTCAGGCTGTGAGACAGGCGGGCAGGTAGACAGTCAGTAAAACAGTCAGGCAGTCAGAGAAACTGCTAACAGTAGCAGAGTCAACATCTGGTTCCAATCTAAAGCTACTAACAAGAAGTGCTGTGTGTTCATCTCAGTATGGGCTGCAGCTGTCACTCAAAACCCGAACCACCTCCAGTACCGACCACAGGCCCTCTGCCCGTCTCACCACCCGTCTCACTGCACACATCTCCTCCTCTCTCTCCATCCAGTCTGTTTCTCTTCACCTCCTTCAGTTTGTTGCCTCAGTCTGTGTGAACATGTGGTCTCCATCCCTGTCGCTCGCTCTCGCTCTCTCTAATCTCTGAACCGCAGACCTCACGTGTTTCATCTCAGTGTGAATTCGAGCTGTCGATCAAACTCACAGAGAAACTTACACTCTATATGTAACTCATACTTCCTCACCTACCTGCCTCCTGCTCTTGCTACCTGTTGCTTTAATCTCAGGGTTTGTTTTCCCTCCAACATGAGACCGAGGGCCGTCTTCAGTCACAGGAAGTGAGGAAATCACAAAGTTAGAGCAGAATACAAACGGACCAGTCAAACTTAAGAAGTTCCTGTGACCCATCACCACAGTGTGAATGTGTCATGTTGAGATCAGAGTTATTATTCCATCTCAGTTTAATCTGAACACCTTTAAAGCACTGAAGAGGTAAAATTGTGCAGCATTAATGAGAAAACAAGACAATGCTAACATGCTGATGTTAACAAGTAAAATGTTCACCATCTCAGTTTAGGGCATTAACATCAAGCATCAAAAATGAACAGTGAAGAAACCAGAAGCTGCAGTTCCTCTAACGACCACTAGAGTCTGGCTCCAACAGTGAGTCAGTCCCCATAGACTCCCATGTTAAAATGTCCAACTTTACAGCAGAAATAAACATGTTTACAGCCTGGTACAAAAACTGTTTTGGTCTCTATAGTTAACTGTTCATATAACTCACCTGTTTACATTTTATTAAGGACTAAAGCTATGGAGAATTGAGGGCGTGGCCTCTTTGAGTGACAGGTGGGCGAGCGTATGTTTGCCACAAAGCAGTATTCACAGAAGTCTCAGCTCCACAATCGCCCCTCCTCTTTGCCCATTTTTAATTAGCTGGGAGTTAGGGGCGGAGTCAGGTAGTGCCAAGCTGGCAACGGTGGAGCAGCTCACTCTGAGCTTCAAAACCACTTAGTTACAGTCTATGGTTATCATGCTAACATTTGCTAATTAGCACTAAATACAAAATACAGCTGAGGCTCATTAGTTTTGCAGGTATTTGACATAAACTGAAGTGTCAGAGTGGCGCTAGAGGAAATGTTAAGAGATCACGAAAGTGATTACAATTCATCCTCAGGGGAACATGAATGTATGAACCACAGTTCCATGCAAAACTCCATCATCTAGCTGATGTTGAGATATTTCACTGGACGAGTGAAAACTTTGACCTGCTGGTGGCACTAGACCAAAAGTCAGAGGATCACCAACATCAGCAGGATTCATTCCTCTGAGGAGATAAATGTCTGAACGACATCTCATGGAAATTGATCCATTAGTTGTGCACTGACCATCTACATTAGACAAACATCTGAGCAGCAGAAACACCATTTTCATACCCTGCTGTCATTTAACCACCTTACAACCCCTCAGATTTATCTAGCAAAGCCCTGAGCCCTTTTCCCGACCACCTGGTTGGCAACCTGTGGTCCACAGATTTGGCAGCACCAAACACTTCTTGTTGACAGTGGTTTGGTGGAGCTTGACTGTGTAACAGAGTCATAGCAGTGTGCGGTAGAACGACCTGCAGGAAGAAAAGCACATGTGCTCGGTGGGACCGACGGAATCTGATCCAACCACCAGGAAATGGTCAGTTTAAAAGGAGCGTGTTGTCAGCAGAACACAAACATACCGACTTAATACAACAACAACAACAGCAGTGGAGACTGCTTCTCTGCCAAGAGACAAGAACTCCAAATATTCCAAATAAACAGAGCCAAACATACCACGAAGAAACAAACAGAAAACACTTGCAGTCAGTCAGTGCGAGACACTCAACAAACCTCATCATCATCAGTTATAGAGAAACGCCGCTGCTGTCACCCTCCCTCCGACAAACTGAGACAGAAACCTTCCATCAGCCGGGGTCAAATATCTGTCATCTGTCACCGCTTCTCAACCTCAGGGTCACGACCCCGGCAGGAGGTCACGGGATGGTTATCAGGGGTCACGAGTCAGATGATTGATAGAATGTGTAAAAAAGTAAATAAGATATAACTGCACGTAGGCTGTTACATGTGAAGGGCTGAACAGAGGTTTATGTTTATTACATTTAAGCATCTTTTAGTTTATAGTTCTGAAGCATGGAAACATCTAATTCTTAGTTTTAGGGTTTTATATTAAACCACAGTCAGACTGTCTTTCCTATAGAAGAGTTAATGTGGACCGAGAATCATATATATATTCTACCAGGACAATGACATCCAGTGAGTATGGACATTTTCGAAACATCAATTTAGAGAAATCTTTATTTTGTGTGTAAATTCGCTTTCTTTAGCTTTTTTAAAATTCTTTATTTTGGGGGCAGCAGATTATATTACAAAACACACATCAGGAGAAGTCACTTTACTTTCCTCTGCCGTTTTTCAAGATGTAAGAACTTTGTACTTTGGGAGGGTTAAAGTGTGCACACATAAACATGGAAAGTATGTCTGAAGAAAATATAATAAAACTAAATAAACTAAAATAAACAATGAGGTCAGAGTAAAATAACATTAGAGGATCAATCATTCAAAACTTCCCTTAAGGGCCTTATTACATATTTGATCTACTTTATAAATTCAGTTTTGACGCAGAGAAAATAATCTTTTCCATGACATTAATGTAATTTACTACATCTATCCTCTCCTGTATCGTTGGGGGTTCAGGAAGTAACCAGCACCTTGTGAGCGCAGAAATCAAAACACCAAAAATATATTTATCTGATCTTCTTGCCTGAAAATCAACAATTCGTAAAATAGTTGTAAAATCGCAGATAAGTGTCAAATATACTTTCTAGTGCTTTGTGAAACAGTCCCAAAATATACACCAGTGGTTTGCTCCCTGGAATCCACACTGTCTCCAGCACTTGGCCTCCCGTCCTGTAAAATGTGGTTTCTGTTTTGGTTTAATACAGAAACAAATAATACATTTCCACCTGAACTCCCGCCACACCAGAGAGTTGGTGCATTTCCACTGGAGTTTACACACGTCTTATCCTCATTTTATTTTGAGAGGTTGTCCTCTCTTTCCTTCATAAGGCCTTTACAAAGACGAGAGATAACACCTGTGTTTGAATCATTGTAGTTGGCATCAATAAATATTCTCCGTACTGAATCACTTTCTTTTTGTGAGACTGACTGGATACTGCGTCATGTCCCAGGACTCAAACATGAATTTACCTTTAGTCACTGTGGCCGTTTTGCATTTGAATCAAACTTTTATTTTACTACTAATATTTTGTTTGTTTTCGGACTAATGTAGAAATGTGGCATTCATTGATGTTTCACTGTTTAGCAGATACACTGAGACTATAGGTTGATGGAGTCACAACAAGAAACATCCACACACTGAAGTTTAATGATCTCTTGCTCACCTTTCCCGCCTTCGTGCATAAAGTCAGACTCATCCATGATGGGTGTGGCCTCTGCTGATTTCAGGAGGGGGCGTTTCTCAGATCCATGGTCGCTCTGCTTTCACAACAGTTTAAGATAACTTCATTGTTGACTCTGAAAGAGCTCTTTGTATCATGAGCAACAAACAAAAGGCACAATCTTCAGATATTATTATCATGAGGGAATAAAACAATGCCTCCAGTGTCCAGCACCGAGTCTGAGAGCTTTGTAATTCAGTTCAGGCAGCTGTTGACTTGACATCAACTTGGCTTTGTGTTGCAGCTTGATGGTCTGTTGAAATCAGACGTTCTCCTGCTGCTGAGTTTACTATCTGTGTAAACTCATCCACAAACAAAAGTTTCTGACTCTCAGACCCAGAAACAGACCGTGAGAAGGAGAACAGGATTTAAAAACACTCCAGACTATGAATCAAGCCTCAGTCATTTTCACTTGCACAGTCTGACAATAACAAGACAATTAATATAAACAAATAATAATTGTTCTGTTCGTTGTTGTTTGATGACGCTGACCTGAAATCACGTTGTTGTCCTGTAGCTTCCTGGTTAAGATCCTCCTGTTGTTCTTCTCATTCTGTGCTGCAGCTTCAGGTTCTATCCATCCAGATGATCCATATTCTGCAACGCTGCAGTTACTTCTCAGACAGTCTCATCATCCTCACTTAGTTCAACTGTGAAAGTCAGCTTAGTTACAACATGTCAAATGTCTGTCAGTTAATCACCTTCACCAGAGCACAAAGCTTCCACTGCAGCTTACAGTCAATCTACAGTAACTGAGGCTTGTGTGGAAAAGATATTTATGTGTGTGTGTGTGTGTGTGTGTGTGTCTGCATGCGTGTACATGTTTGTACTCCATCCCGGATCTGTTATCTGACCACTGGTCTTGGTGTGTGTGTGTGTGTGTGTGTGTGTGTGTGGATAAGGAGATAATCACCTGTTGCTGGACTGCAGGTTTCTCACACACACCTTTTTTCTTCAGCAAACACTGCAGATATGTGCAGGTGACTGTGTTTTATTTGAACATTTCTGAAACATTTTGTTTCCATCAACTTATCTGATTGGTCTAAAATGCAAAGCTTGTTGTTTATTCTTATCTTACAGGAAACTTTCCCGACTATAAACGTGCAAAAATACAAGCTGTAAGAAAATCATGACACCTTTAATGACACTTTATTTATAGCCACATTCAGAATACCTGCTACCAGCTGATTGACAGCTTTGTTTTTAATGCAAGATCCTGCAAAAACAAGCACATTAATCAGTATACTGTAGTTAATGTAAATAAGGCTAATGTTAATATGGTATCATATAATTCTCATGTTTATTTCTAAACATCCTGACACTGACAAGGAATGAAACCACACAGTCTTCACCAGTTTTCACCTGGACTGTCTCACTTTTATATTTATGTCCAACCAGTAATTTGACTCAACAAGTGGAAATTCCTAAATGTAGCACAACGATGGCACAAGCAGAGAACAGTCATGAAGTCAGTCACGTCAGTCGCACATCAATATCTACCTGAAGGTTGCTAATCTTAACTAGCATGAGCCGCCACACGCTACTGGTGATACCAGACCAGATAATGTTGTAGCAGCCAAACTGCTGAGTGGATTCATTTGAACCAAGCAGCGTTTTATTGATTATAAATTCAACTTTTCATATGTAAAATAAAGAATTTGTTATTTCTTCTTTCAAAAGTGATGTAGTATCACTTTAAAGAAAGTCTTTTGGTTGAATACGCTTTGATTCTCTTGTCTGTGCAGTAAAGATGAATCTTCACACTTCAGTTTAAAGAAATGAGACATGTTTGTTTTATTACCTTTGGACAGAGCCACGCTAGCTATTTCCCCCTGTTTCCAGTCTTTATGCTAAGCTAAGCTAACCGGCTGCAGGCTGTAGCTTCATATTGAAGGGACAGATATGAGAGTAGTCTCTATCTTCTCATCTAACTCTCAGCAAGAAAGAGAATAAACATATTTCCCACAATGGGATTTTTAAACAGCTCTAGTAAAACAGCAGCTGAGGAAGAAGGGGAACTATAACCCAACCCTCTATTTCAGAGGCTCAAGGTTTGTTCCCTCAGAGAAACAAAAAGTCATGTTTACCCCCAACCACCTTTATCCTGCAGGCTGACGTGTCCTGCAGCGTCTGTGTGTCACAGTCAGTGACAGACGCTGCTAAAAACATTACAACCTGATGAAAACTAACAGCAGGACTCAACACGACGCCTGTGTTTTCTATCAGTCAGCAGGGAGACGAAGTAACAGCCACAGTGACCTTTCCAAAAACACATACTTGATAGTGTTGCAGCTCCTGTTGTTTATTACCAGCTTTGACCAGTGTTGACATTGAGGCCTACTCAGGTATTCTGTGAAAGAGATTGGGTTTGTTTCAGCTGATATCAGACGCCAGAGGAACTATTTAATGTCACATCAGTCAAACTCAATGGAGCAGCGATGGAAACGAGTTGTGATCCAAACAAAGCTGAAGAATAATTTGTGTTTTGATTGAAATATGTTTATGTCTCTACCTCTGCCCACACAAACCTCCAAATGTATTATTCTTATTGCATATTAAATTTAGGTTCCTGGGAAAGACGGAAACCTGAGGAAACTTTCCACATAAACTTAACTGCAAATACAGTTTGTAGAAGAGGTTTTGATTTCTGTTTACTTGTTACTTTATCTGACACTGACTGTGTCTTAGATATAACAAATACTTCAGACTACAGAGTCTAAATTCATCTGTTGCACAAAGCAGTTTAATTCTTGACCATCAAAAAAGAAAAAAAGAAATTTCTGAGGCCTCTAAAAATTCTTTCCCTTCTCTTTGCTCTCTCCATAACAATGTTAGAAAACCATAAATTATGAGTCATGTTTTCCTGTTTTTTTGTTGTTGGGTGCTACTGGTCGGTGTCATTGGTAGTTACCACGGTAACGTTGGTCTTAAGACTTGAGTTAACCTGGAGGTAAGGTGTCTAACTTTTTTGGCTTAAAATGAGAAACAGTCGAACAGCACAGAGCAGCTCCACATCACTCACAGCTGCTTAGGAGACGTGATCAAACATGACTCCAGAATTTTATTTAGGTAAACGGGACAAATACAGAGGGATGGGATGATCTCCTCAGAAGCTGAAAATTTAACTAATTGATTAGTTGATTGACTATTTTGATAATCATTAATAATTTGGGTAATTTTTACAGTCAAAAATGCCAAAAATTCTCTAAATTTAAATTTCTTAAACGCGGCGTTTGCTGCTTTTCTTTGCCATATGTAATAATGAAATGAATATATCTGATTTTGAAAATGTCACTTTGGATTCTGAGAAACTAACTACAAAACTATAATTTGATAAAATAATCAGAGGGTTAATTGATAATCAGAATATTCAATAATCAGCCCTGATCTCCTCCCACTGGATCGAGATGATAAATCAGATGAGTTGTTGCATCTCAGCCGCTGCAGCTGAAACCGTCTGTAACAGTTGGATCTGTTGTGCAGGAGCCGCAGGGAGATGCCGGGGTCAGCTGAGAGTTACTCCTCTGCGCTGACGGAGGTTTGAGTGAACATCCGGAGCCGGCGCAGAGGAAATCTGGACAATGCATTAACATGTCCCGCTCCCTAGGGGGCAGCACTAACAGGAACTCCAGGCCTGATATGTGCTGCTGTTTAAGCCGCTGCCTCTTTGATTGAATACACACTGAACTGTGATCACTGCAGAGAGGCCAAGAACCAACATCTGTCTTTTCCCTTCCCTCCCATCCTTCTTTCTGTAATGAAGTGAATATTGATCCTCTGTGCACTATATCGTTCAGATTAACGAAATTTATCAGGACGAAGACCATTTTAAAAAAACTGCAGGCCAAAGTCTAAACGAGTCTCAGGGTGAGGGGGAGGACAGATGTCTTTAGAAATGTCCTGGAACTGGACCCAGAACTTCATGATGTCTTCCAGACGAACGCAGCAGCAGAAAGTAACTAAGTACTTTTACTGAAGCACGTGCTTAAGTAGAGATTAGAGGTACTTCTACTACTTCTGCTTCATTACAGAGGGAGATATTTTACTTTTTACTACATTAATCTGACATCTGGAGTAACTAGTTACTATTTACTGTTTAAGATTTTAAAATACGACGCATGAAGACGGATTAAACTACCCAACATTATGAAGTAGTTAAAATAAACTCTACAGCTCCATTCTGCCCAGCGAGTACTTTTACTCATGATACATTAAGTACATTCAAATTATAATACTTTTTATTATTTTTACAAAATGGTTTTACTTCTTCCACCAGTCAGACAGTCCCGCTGGTGTGACTGGGCATTAGGAGCTGAGGGCCGTGCGGAGCTGGAAAGTGACTATAAAGCTGATTTTTTAGTTTGACCTTTTACCCTCCTGAATCTCTGCTGCAGCACAAATCAGACGGGAGGAAATCCAGTGGGTTATTTTTTACTGCCTGGACTTGAAAAGACCTTTTAAGAAACAGCCACAGTTTCGTTTGTCGCGGTAATCTCACACTCATGCCAACGTCAACAGCTGCCGCCGCTCTTTGACTCCTTTTTAACAAGCAGCTCTGTAAACTGTGTGGTCCGTTTACACTCCAGTATGTGGCATCAAACGGCTCCTGACAGGAATTCAGCTGCTGCGATTTACATTTAATGAACATTTTCTCTCAGATTGGACACAAGTCATAAGGTCACTCACTTTATTACTCTATAATTTCAGGTAGTAGTTACACAACAAAATGTGTTGTTCTCTTAACCAACTCTATTCTGAAAGATGGCGAGGGGGCAGACGCAGTTTTAATTTGTTGTGAGTGTTAACTGAAGGAAATAGGAGCTCCACTTCTATATTTAAGACACACGCTGTTAACAGACGAGACGCAGCCGTCACCACGTCCACTCAATGAGACGCTTAACGAGAAAATATTAGATCTGAGCTGAATGATTCTCTTTGTGGGTAATTATAGAACATATGTGGGTCTGTGGCCCCGCTGAGGGGGAGCAGTGATGTGTGTGTGTGTGTGTGTGTGTGTGTGTGTGTGTGTGTGTGTGTGTGGTGCACGTGCAGAGCACCAGCAGGATTGTAGTAGATTGTTGTTAAGTGAGTGCACGGTGAGGAGACAGGAAGGGGGTTTTAGGGCTGGATGTGGGGGTGTTGGCTGCTGCCGTTAAGTTATAGAAAGTTACACTGAGGGGTCTTTGTCCCACACACACACACACACACACACACACACACACACACACACACACACACACACACACACAGACCTCCTCTGTGTGTTCAGATAAACTTTGGTGTGTTTTCATTTCAAACATCATCCTTTTCTTTCTCACACTTGTGGCCTGTGCAATAAAACACTCAGTGTTCACTTTATTAGGGACACCTGTACAATCTAATACCATCCAACACAACTGTTGTGTCATGAAGTCGACTTCTATGATGCTGATAATGTTCAGTTTTCTGACACAGTCATAGAGGTGTTCATTCACTTCTATGTTTTAGCATTGAGCTCAGAGTCAGTGATGGTGTTGTACTGGACTGTGTTATATTCAGAGGTGTTCCTAATATTCTGACCCCCTCATGTTTGTAAACAGGGAGGACAGAACAATAGAAACACCTCTCAGTATAATGTAGTCCAGTACAACACCACCTTTAACTATGAGCTTTGTAAAGACAGGTGTAATGGCAGGGCTGTTGTATTGTACCTAATAAAGTGACCACTGAGCAAACAGGACTTACCTTGTGCTTTGGCATTTTTTTTGCTTTTTTCTTTCATTCGGTTTGAAAACGTGTCTCCTGTCGTTCTGCTCGTCTGTCTCGTTCTCTCACTCCTTCCCTTCCTCTCCTCCCGCTCTTTTACAGCCGACATCAGACAGGAGACCTTCCACATCATGCAGGAGTGTGCGTAGGTGTTTGCAGGTGTAAAACTAATTCTTATGAGAATAAATGAACAAAAACACACGGAGGGTGAAGTCCTGTTGGTTCTGCCCTCTCCTCGGTGAGGAGCTGGTCTTAGTGTTGGTTTCATCATCCTGTCTGCAGGAGACTTTATAATGAAGGGATCTCTGAAATCAGAAAATGTTGGACCATCATCAGAACTGTGGTGAAGGCCTGAATTCATACAAACCACTGGATGTATGACATAATGTTCAGTTCTCACCTGTTTTCTCTCAAGACACAATCAGCTGGTATCACTCAGTCCGGTGTGAACAGTGTAACAGGGATTTTAGGGTTTGGTGCCTTTGAGGACGATAGGACACAGACTGGGGATGTTCTTTTGGAGTCAGAAATGAACTGGGACAATGCTTTGACAACAGAGTTTGTTGCGTAAGGGACAGATGGCAGGATACTTAAACACATCAGAGTCAGTAGATACAAGTCACAAGTCAACAACAAGTCAGTTTTGTTCTGGTCTTGGTTCACGCGACCGTAACTTTGTCCAACTAAGTGTCTGGATCACGTCTTACCTGATCGATCTCTCCGACTTCAGTCCTGACGGACTTTATGAATCAGGGAATATCATCTGCTGGGAGAACAGCTTCAGGTGCAGTTTCCACCTGTTAGGATAATGGTTAAGATCAAGGTTAGTCCAGTTCGTCTTAGTCCGGCTCTCTTGGGGTTTTCTGGCTTCACTGAACCTAACATCAGCCGCCCTGGATTACCTGCATCATGAAGCTGGCTCTGTTAACTCTGGGTTTACCTGTCCAGTTACAGGTGTGTTCATGTGAAGGAGGCAGAGTTGTTAATTATGATGAGATGATGTGAAACAGTGAGACCTGAGGGTAAATTCAGTTACAGTGACAGCAGAACGAGATATTCAACAAAGTGGAATCTAAAGATCCGAACAAGTAGAAAGGAATAAGAAGCTGTAGAGTAAGTGATGAGGAGAGTGTGTGTTACTTGGGACCTTTGACTGAGGTTCAGACCGTGGACAGTGCAGTCCCTCCAGGTCATTGCCAAAATGTGGAAGGCATTTCCGCAGAGCATTCTTGAAAACGTAAAAGCCAGAATAATGTGCTCCAAATGTTTGGCTGACCTTCGATCCACCACAGGGATGTTCCCGAAGACACGGGCGAGAGATGAGAGAGAGAGGGCAAGAGCCACGAAGGACGACCGAGACGAGACAAACAGAGACACAAACAGAGAAAAGAGCCTTTGTGCTTTATCTGGTGACTCATTGCTCAGACCAGGACCTGAACCACAGGCTCTGGCTGCCGGTCAGACAGATAAGCCCCTGAAGGACCCCTCTCTATGGACCTAAAGACAGAGAGGTGGCTTTCATGCTGCCTGTTTGAATTGACCAAGTGCCCTGAACGCAAACACTTCCCAGACATTATCATTATCCCCCAGCTGCTGCTGGTGGAGCTGACAGCCTTCAGGGACACTGACAGACGCAGGCAGATTACGAACGTGCGTGTTTGTCCACAGCCTTCTATTAGCAGAAACTGCTGTGCAACTTATCCAGGTGTTTGTAGCCAAGTGTTTTACGACTGGGCAGGACTGGAATTTCCCACTGCAACACACTCGTCATCGTCATTATGATCACTTTACAAACACACACACACACAGACTAGGACTTTACTGGTGTTTCTACACTGAGATGAGCAATTAGAGTGTGTAGAACCCAGGTGATGGTAGAAACAGCGGTAAATTCACATCAGACTGACACGACAGTACAAATCACAAAAACAAATCACTTGTGATTTTTCTTCTGGAACGACACAGAGTTTTCTGATGAAATCGGTTGGTGCCTTTCCAAAACTGTTACGAATACAGATGTCAGCGAGGGTTAGCTGGTTTTTCTTTTCCACTGTAAAAGATGCTGCGGACTTTCTGATCCGACAGCGCTGTGGTTAACATTTGAAGAAGTGTAGGTGCAAAACTGACTCGGTCAGGTTACAGAAAAATCACAGTTTGGGTTAAAATAACTACTTGGTTACTGTTGAGGAACAATCAAGGTTGTAATTAAAAGAAACCATCACTGACAACAGGAAGCAAAGAGCAGGTCCTACATTTTGTTGACTCATCCATTCACCTTGTCCTCCTTCCTGTGCAGACTTTGTGGCTCTACGACAGTGTCACCTGATTTCTTCTTCTTCTCTCGATGGACAAGATTCACAATTCCCACAGCCACTAGAGGGCGCTCTCACTTGTGAACAAATGTCATTTTGTGCTTTTTTCTCCAAACTCAAACATGATAGTGTCATCCCTCAAAACACCTTGGATTCTGTTCAGTCCCGACATTAACTGATGAAGCAAAATAAGTAGAATCAGCCAAAATGCGTCATAATTCTCACTCCATGTTACCACAAATAACCCCCTCTGCGTTTCTCTCTGCTTTCCCTCCATATCACCCATCACCCCTCCCCTTTACAGTTATTCCAGCTCCAGCCGAGTCCAGCCTGTCTGCTAGATCAGTATCATCAGGATGAAGATGAGACAGCTCAGAGCACTGAGTGGATTCATTCTGCTGACCCTGGCAGTCCTCGCCGCCGCCAGGCCAAAAGCAGGTCAGTCTCCTGATAATGTTAAAGACAAAAGAAAGACTGTTTTTTTTACTCTCTTCCTCTCAAATGGGGCACAAGTGCTTCCTTCAAATGGAAATCATGAAATTGAGCAAACAGCATTTGAAATGCTTTAGAGAACATAAATGAACTTTGCCCGTTTTTCATCTGTAAAAACTTTGTACTTTGTGCATTTCATTGTAATTTTTTCAGAATAAGAAATAGTAGACAACAGAAAAAAAGTCCTTGGGTGCATTTTTACAAATTTCAGTGTACATCACAAATTCACAAACTGAGCTTTCAGAAACTTTGAGACCACCACCATGGGCACCGCACAGGACTCTTCACCAGCATGTGAATCCTGACTTTACTTTAAGGTTCTGTAGACGATCGTCATTGCCTCAAGATGTCGCACAAGAACACCAGCATTTCAGACCAAAACAAATGCTTCATCAGCCACACCTCCTGCTTCCCCCTCCCTTCTTATTCTCAGTGTGACGGAGGACAGTGAAAGTGACACAACAAGAAGCTCAACTGAATTAAGTTACACTGTGAACACGAGACACAACAAGCCCACGCTAGCACTGCTGTGATATGCTCCACATCAATGCTGACAGTTAGCCAACTAGCGATAGCAACATTTGCTGAACATTTTCCTGGGTAACAGGAAATTATCGAACTGGGCACTAATGAAAACAGACATGTAGCCGTCAAGATACTTACACATGGAGGAGAAGAAGAACCAGTTCTGAGTAAAGCTGGACCCTTAAGTAGTTCATACAGTTCTCCATCTCAGGAAACCAGACCAATATTGGCTCCATGGTCAGACTGGGAAAGAAATTCAGCCTTGGATTGATCCACTGGGACCGGCCGCATGAGTGACACTGATGGAGCCGGTAAAAATTTTTATGAATGTTTGACGGTCCACTGACCAGGATTTGAGCCAGTAGTCCCCATGTCCAGTCCGCCTCTGCTCTGGTCTCTGCTCTTTCTTTGTCGGAGGCCTTTTTAGATGAAAATGTAGTTTCTTCTTCAGTGGAGGAAATTCTGAAAGGTCGCTTTCACCTGAACGCTGCGTACTGCACTGTGCCATCTCATGTGTGGGCAGTCCCTGAAATGTGGGGAGGACCAATGGTTTGACAGGACAGGATTCACACGCACTAACATGCACACGTACGTGCACTAACATGCACACACAGCTGTCCAGGAAACCAAAACAAAGACAAGAGAAGCTCAGATTACGACACACACAGAAGGGGTGTGGCTTTGTTCTCTGCTCAGGACGTCATTACTCCACTTTATCTTTATATAGAAAATATATATAACTTCTCTGTTGCTGTATTAATGTTTAAAATCTTGTCTATATAATCTTTAATGGCATTAACGTTTTGGGACATATCAGACCTAAACATTTGGATATGGTTTTCATTATGTCTGCAGCTGAAGGTTGACATGATTTATATGACCAGACAATGTAGTAGACATATTTATAAGACGTTAAAAACCAGCCACTGCTCATGTCTGTTTGAAACTAAAGATCCACAACAATCCCATGTCTGCTTTCACTGACACGGCCTCTTCTATTATGACTCCCAGTTTAGCCTTTGTGAAGAAATTCTGGATGTGCACAAATCAAACAATCCTTTCCCAACTCATAAAGCTACACCGCAAACACAAGCTCACTTCATACCTCACCCATGACTACTGTGTTTTTGAACCGAGATGATGTTACACTTCGAGAGTGCGTTCACAGCGATGCCGGGAAATTAAAGACAAAACCAGGTGCCGTGTGGCAGCTGAAGTCATGGAGACCTGAGGTCAGGTGGTAAATAATGTGAAAGTTACACCAGTCTGAGGAAGACCTCTGCTGCTGCTTCATTCCAGACAAATGTAAAACTGAAAACCACACACACACACACACACACACACACACACACACACACACACACACACACACACACACACGACAGGAAGACTTCATTACTCCAACATAAAGGATGTGACTAGTGTTATTCTATATTTTATTAATGTCAACAAACATTAAGACCACTAATGTGTCAGTCTGGCTCTCAGCTCTCATTGGTTCCTAATGAAGAGTCCAAAAACAGCTGGTCACTGTAGTGTTTAGCAAATGATAACTAAACAGGAGTAAAGTGTGCATCTGTTTGGGACTATTTTCAGTGGCGTATTAATCTACATTTGGTGTTCCATTTGAATATTTGAGGCAGCAGGAGTCAAAATAAACTACAGCAGTGTGTCTCACTAGTGTGTTTTCAACAGTTTTGGGACGATGATCAATTCTTTGTTAGTTTTGGTGTTTTCATGGGATTTGTTGATAAAAAATGATGTCAATAATTTCTGCTCTTTCTCTTCCTTCCAGGTCCTGAGCAGAAATGTAAGTCTGGTCCAGTGGATCTGGTCTTCCTCATCGACAGCTCCCGCAGCGTTAGGCCACATGAGTTTGAGACCATGAGGAAGTTCATGATCGACATCCTGGACACCCTGGATATTGGACTCAACGCCACCAGAGTGGGAGTGGTTCAGTACTCCAGCCAGGTAATGTAGGCGCACAATATCCAGACCTTCATCTGTCATCCACATCATTCTGTCCTTCTTCTTAAACCTTCCTTTTACTGATTCTGTTTAGAGTTTAGTTACAAAGTGTTAAATCAATTTTAGACAAGATGAACCTCTAATTTATATCAGAACGATCAATTACTGCTGCTTTCACACTTTATAGCTGAGTTTTTTAAAGCTCCTCCAGCCTAAAGGTCTCTGTCCATGTGTAGTGTGATTATAGATCAGGTCTAGCTTCTATATTAATACTGTGAAAGTATCAAAGCCTCAGTCCACAGAGAAATGCACACAGCCTGTATTCAGAAACTGAGCCTTAAAACCAGCCGTCAGGACTTCTGGAACTTTGTGATGTCACAACAAAGCAGTCACCAAGCCCCGCCCACCTGGACCCACCATCCAAACCTTGCAGGATTTGGTTTCTCTGAGTGTTTACTTGAAAATTGCTATATTTTTATTGGATCACTCAGAAAACAGTCAGCCAATCAGAGGAGAGACTCAGAGCTTCCTCTCTTCTGATTGGCTCACCGACCTGTTGTTACTAGAGCTCCAGAGAGAAGCCTGAGAGAGGAGATGTGAAACTACACTGAGATGGTTTTTGGTTCTTAAAACCACAAATATATCTTCTTATGGATCAACACTTCAAATAAAACACAGAAGAAGAAGAAAATCTGGAGCTTTAAGAACGGACCGTGTGATGACAGGAAGTACATCACACCATTGTGTTTGTCTGTAGCTTCTCACTTCTTTCTCTTCCCTCCTCTGACTCTGTGCAGTTTTCAGTTTTGACAGTGGTGATAATTCTTGGCTCTGCTCTGATAAACATGATGAGTGGATTTGAATACTGTCTGCTGACTCTTCGTTTCACCTCTGACCTTTATTGTCTGCAGGTCCGCAGCGAGTTCTCTCTGAAGACACACAGCAAGCTGGACACCATGGTGAAAGGCATCAATCAGATCATCCCCCTCGCTCAGGGCACCATGACCGGACTCGCCATCAGATACGTGATGAATAATGCCTTCACTGCAGAGGGGGGAGACAGGCCAAAGGTACGAAAGACCACACCGTCTCAGCAGGATCTAGAAAATGCATCAGTTATTTGACAAGGAATCCTGTTTTATTAGTTTTAGTACATAATTAGACATAGAATGAATCCTGATCTGACATCCTTCAGCTACAACGGTTTACGTCTTTGTGACATAATGTAGAAACGGTTCATATCATTTCACTTAAGTCAATGATGAGGATTCTTTCCTCTGAAATGGTCTCAGTACCTCATCTTGGCTCTGATCATGAGGTTTTCTCCCCCTCAGGTCCCCAACGTGGTCGTGATCGTGACAGATGGACGCCCTCAGGACCGTGTGGCCGAGGTGGCAGCGGAGGCCAGAGAGAAAGGCATTGAGATCTACGCTGTGGGAGTGGCCAGGGCCGATATGACATCACTGAGAGCCATGGCGTCCCCGCCATTTGAAGACCACGTCTTCCTGGTGGAGTCATTCGATCTCATTCACCAGTTTGGACTGCAGTTCCAGGACAAGCTCTGTGGTAAGGCTGCGGGGGAAAGGAAATAACCTCACTGTCTATAAAAACCCAAAGTATACCTTTGACATTTTAATTACTGTATTCGCCAAAAGCATTTTTCAGTCCGAGCAGGATCTTTAAAACACGGTTAGATGTCTATAAAAGTGGCTGTTAAGACAAATGAAACGGCATTTGGCGCGTGGTTTACTTTGACTTGGTTTGGATGAGTTGTATAATTTCAGGTTTTATTACATTATTTCTTGTAAGACAGTTCAGAGTTTTATGTGAGAACAGAACACAAACATCTTTACAGACAACAATAAAGCTCATAAAATACCGGAGCTATGAGACGATTAATTCTTTATGGATTTGATGTCACATTTTTTAAAAATCTCCATTAAAACCTTCACATTTTCCGCCACTGGTGGATTATTTTTATTTGAAGTCACCTCAACATAAGACAAGTAAAAACCTGCAGCCAAGTCTCTGCAATTGAAGTCCCATGCTGTTGGCTTCCCCTGGGGCAACACTAGATTCTCTATGTGATTAAAAACACTATTAATGTCTAGCCAGAATAAAAAAAATCACTATGCCCATCTAACCCCACAGAACTTAATACTTTTAATAACAGACGCCTCAAATCCCTTAAGAGCAAAACATTTCCTCATACTGATTTTATTCTAGACTGAGGAAAAATCTCTGGCTTTCCTCAGTCGTGGAAGGAAAAGAACAAAGGCAAAGTCTTAAAAATGTTTTTGAAGAAATAAATTAAGCAATCAATACAAAAAAACAGGTTTGTGACAAAGAACCGAGGTTCAGACCGGGTTCAGAGAAAATGCGTTTCCAAAAAGTTAACGTACTGGATAATTAACTGAAGATAATTCATCTTGACACAGCTGTTCTGGTAATCTGTCGAGTTGATGGAAGTAAAGCATCTGAAAACTTCAAAATCAAATGAAGCATTTCTTTAAAACATTAAAGGGAAATTCCACGTTCTTTGGGAGAACTGATGTCCTGTTGTACTTTGCTCCTCATCTCAGCTTGAGGTTAGCAGCTCGAGGCTACATTAGCTGCTACTAGCATAACTCACCCGAATCTTCCACCGAACAGTTGCACTGTGGGTGTTGTAGTCTGCAGGATCTGCTGCATCCATTTTGATGCTTTGTCTTTTTTCTTTTCATGAGTCTGACAGTGTCTTAGGACCAAATCAAAATATTCAAGACTAAATAGTTTAAATTCAGAAAAAAAGTCTTCAGATAATTGGCCTCATCTGAGCCCCGCCTACTTCCCATCAGTGGGAGGAGCTCAGAAACAAAACCCCCACAGAAACACAGAGTCTGTCAGAAAACAGTGTGTTCATGTCGGAGTTTTGATAATGCAGCTACTTGTCCTGGAGCTGATGTCACAGTATGGAAGCTGACGTTGACCTCACCTGTGCTGCAGGTGTGGATCTGTGTCTGGAGTCGGATCACGGCTGCGAGCACATCTGTGAAAGCTCCCCCGGCTCCTACCACTGCCTCTGTCTGCCTGGATACACTCTGAACAACGACGGGAAAACGTGTGCAGGTAAAAAATAAACAACAATACTGACAATGGGACATGTCCAATTTGTTTTGAACTATAGCTCAGATAAAGGTGTAGATAATATACAAGGGAACATACAGTCAGACACAGAAATAGACTTACAGTAGGTTTTCTGTGCTGGTACCAGCTGGCTTGATGGTTGACAGCTGTAACAGTTTAATGTCACTTCACACATGGATGATAAAAGTGAAATTAAGATGCTTACATCAAAAAGTAAAATAATTTTTAAATCCACATTTAACCATAATGAAAATCGTGGCTCCTTACGTCTCAATGTGTGTGTGTGTGTGTGTGTTTCAGCCATAGATCTGTGTGCTGAGGGGAATCACGACTGTGAACAGATCTGCGTCAGCTCTCCCGGTTCCTTCACCTGCGACTGCAACAAAGGATACAAACTGAACGACGACAAGAAGACCTGCTCAAGTCAGTCTCACATGTGAACACACATGCAGAAAACACACGTAGAAGCTGAAATTCAAACACAATATATCTCAGTTACAAAACTCCTGGCATCGTATTGACATGTGTGTTTGGCTTGAATTCATGTCGTGTTCATTCATGCTGAAATGGACTGTGATCTTCACGAGCTGCTGATTTCTCTGCTGCTTCATGAAGCTGAGGGTGGGTTTGTTCTATGTTCCTCCTGCTGCAGTTTGTCACAGTAAAAGGATTACGTGGACATGAGGGGTTACCTCATCCTGCATATGAAATCATGCAACACCACATGCTCCTCTAGAGCCTTTTACACCTGTATAGTCCTGCTAGAGTTTCATTCACAAACACTAAAATACGTCTATTAGGAAAAAAACGTAGCTTTGACTTCGTAAGTATTTAGACCTGTGTTATTTTAGTTGTCATTTTGAGAAGGCGGCGCACTCTCATCGCATGACGCAACCTTTCAGAATAAAAGCCTACAGGTGCTGTCTGAGGCAAAGGGAACATAGACACAATCCCACTCGTTTGGCTGCTGTTCGCTCTGCTGCTTACGGCCTCGCTGCTTTCCTCCCCTCAGTGATCGACTACTGTTCGTTTGGGAACCACAGTTGTGATCATGAGTGTGTGAGTGTGCTCAGTGGCTATCACTGCCGCTGTAACGAAGGATACAGGCTGCTGGACGACGGCAAGACCTGCCAGGGTGAGTGGTGCAAACGTGAGACAGAACTCATGTTGTCCTCCGCTAACATACACGCATGAATTAAAAACCTTCTTATATATGTGTCTGTGGAATATGGTAACAGCTGGTCCTCAGATTGTGTGGGGGGGGGGTGGATCCACCTGCTGAATGATGAATACCTGTTCACTGTTAGTCTGTAATGTAGACCGCCACAGGAAGGTGGCAACACAGAAGTGTCATGAGACTTCAAAAACTCCAAACCTCAAAACAGAAAACAAACATTAGTCATGTTCAAGTCATGATTCTAAATGTTAATATTAATGACTTTTAATAGACGCACAGGAGGAAGTTTAATAATGATTGTTAGTGTCTCACCGTCATTAAATGCTAAGTACCACAATTCTGAAGAAAATGAGGACTTGAAGTTTTAACCCACAATGTTTCAAACCCACATCAGCCGAGGCCTAAACACAGCAACAAAACTACACACACACTAATACCACTAACACCTGATGCATTCTGTATTCACAAACAAGCATGTTGTGTGTAGGGGAACGTGTGCGATCAACATGTTTGTACATCTTCATGCATGCAGCACACGCACATACACACACGTCTCAGAGCTTCAGCTCCACAGCAACACCTGCAGTTTGTGATCTCACTGACAGAAAACGATTTACAACCAAACACTGACTGTGTGTGCCGCTCGAAGCCAAAGAGATCTTCAAAGAAAGAGAAACACACCGTGTAATTGTGTCGTCCATTTAACTCAAATACCACAGCCAGTGTGTGTGAAGAGAAGATCGTTACGCTCCTGCTGGTTCAGCTGTTCTTTTTCAAAACACCTGGTTTATAACTTACATTTGAATACGCACGGTCGTTTACAGGTGACAAACAAAATGATGCCGGAGTCACAGTGAATTATAATTTTGACCGTTTCTCTCAAATGTGTAATTGTATATTATTATTTAAAAAAACCCAAACAATGTCACAGATTTGTTTTCAGTAAACCTCATGATCTCTCATAGTTTCATTCAAGGGATATTTGCTTCCATTTCCAGGATCAATATTTGAGCTTCACTGCGTCTAATTTACTCTCCCTCTCTCTTCCAGCTGAATCCAACATGAATCTAACAACTAAAAATACTTTTTGGTTCAAATATAAATAAATGTTTTTATATTGTTACACAGAAAAAAACTGAAAAATGTTCCTGGAAGATTTATTTTTACAAGAGCAATAAAATGACTGTGTCTTCAACATACAAAAACACAGACACACACACTTTAACTAAATGTGTGTGTGTGTTATTCAGCCATTGACCTGTGCGCTGAGGGGAAACATGACTGTGAACAAATCTGTGTCAGCGCACCGGGCGTCTTCACCTGCGACTGCAACGAAGGATACACACTCAATGAGGACAAGAAGACCTGCACACGTTAGTCAGGCCCTCACACAAAGACACACACACACACACACACACACACACACACACACACACACACACACACACACACACGGCTCCTGGTGCGTCTCTTCCACAGCAGGAGTGCAGCCCATTCTTTCTTCCTGATCTTTTATATTCTGTACAGTACTTGAATTATTCAATCACATGAGTCACTGATCACTTTGACCATCAATCATTAATGTCAGTCTCATGTAAAAATACCAAACAGTTCCTGTTTCCTTGTTTGCTGCTTCTGTTTCATGTCTTTGTAAATGAAATCCCTTCGGCCTGGTGCTCAGGTTGAATCAGCATTTTGAAGACATCAGTTTGGACTCAGGGACTATTTTTTTTATTAATCAATCAAATAATTAATTTTCAGCCTGAAACTGTCTCTAAAGCAGGTGATCAGGAGAAATGTTCTTCCTTATGGATTCAAGAGAGAAATCTTTTTTTTATCTTCTGGCTTCACTCACGCTCATGCTTGTAGACACACAAAGAAAATGTTCCAATGTTCCACTACACCATTAATTACAATTGTAAAATAATTCATTTGTGTGTGTGCCTGTGCGTGTGTGTGCGTGTGCGTGTGTGTGTGTCTGATTCAGCCATTGACCTGTGTGCCCAGGGGAAGCATGACTGTGAACAGATCTGTATCAGTGCACCGGGCGTCTTCACCTGCGACTGCAACAAAGGATTCAAACTCAACAAAGACAAGAAGACCTGCACAAGTCAGTGAATGTCTCACACACTCAGTTAACATTGTGTGTTTCTCCTTAGCTAGCTGGTGTTGTCTCACTGTTCTGGCCCTGATTAAAAACGTAATCCATGTTGGCTTTGATGGAAAAGATGTTTTCAGATCATGTAAACTCTACAAGAATCAGATGTTTGACTAACATTTGCTTCTGATTCGTCATTGACTGTGAATCTATAACCTCTCTGGAGTTGTACAGGTGGAAAAGATTAAAATATATCTTTTAATCCTGCAGCCATGTTTTCTGAGCTTTTCTGAGGTTGAATGTAAATAAACAACAGTTGTTGTCAAGTTTCCTGAAACACTCATATAAACTTCTCCCAAAGCTGGTTTGCATGTGTCCGTGTCTGTGCAGTTGTAATTCAAATGTGATGTGTTTGTGAACTGTGTATTTGCAGACATGGACCTGTGTAACACTGTGGAGCACGGCTGTGAGCACCAGTGTGTGAGCACTCCAGGATCTTACTACTGTATCTGCCCGGAGGGACAGCTGCTGCAGGACGATGGCAAGAGCTGCGGCAGTGAGTCGACGCCCTGATGCAGGATTATCTGTGAAATATAAAAAAACATTTGAGGTCGCTTGAACAGTCGCTGATGTGCAAACTCAGAACAGCAGGTTCATCTCAGACCTCATCAGTGTCGCCACGTCATCAGTAAGATTAGTTTGCTCTGCTGCAGTGGGGTTACGATCCCGTGGGTCCTGCAGGACCACAAAGAAATGCTGCAGGTGACGGATGTGGGAAGAAGGGCTGAAAGAAACAGGAAGTCAACATCATTATCACAGTTAACTTAGATTGATCAGAGAATTAAAAAGAAAAGAAGCACAAAATAACAAACGAACACACGGAACTGTAGATCAGAGATATGATTCCAGGCCTCTGGTGAGAGGAGAATCTTTACTCTGTGCACAACCTCTGCTGCTGAGCTCTGACATACATTAAGCCAAAATTAAACAATTCTGTTATGAATGTCGCCCGGATCAATGATGGTGTGATCAGATCAGATCAGATCAGATCAGATCAGATCAGATCATGATGAGCTTCACCGAAGGGAAAAATCATCAAGAGTCCAGATTGTGATCAGAGTGAGAGAAGAGGGGGGTTTGATTCTCAGGGGATGAAATAAAGATGGATGAGAAAATAAACCAAATCTCATGCTGATGTTAAAAGCAGCTCAGTTATGTCTGGGAGAAACTGGCTGGACAGAGACGACGATGATGATGATGATGAGGATGATGATCGTCTGTGGAATTTTCTTTTTCCCTGGGGAGGCGGAGTGAAACCAAAGTTCCTGCCAGTTACCTTCACACAGCACCTTCCTGTGGAGATCTGTGGCCGTACAGTCTCATTTATCATCCAACATTTATACTGTAGGAGCATCTGCTCCAACTGCCATTAAATAATCAACTGCAGCACATCCTTTGTTACTATGACGACTCTAATAGTTACCAAAACAACCAAGAGCAAAATATCTGACTAATGTCTGAATACCCGAGTTAAACTGATACTGATACAAAATATTGGGGCAATATTGGCAATATTTTTTCAAGTATAATGGTAACAGCTGTTAAACTGTACACTGTAAAATATGACAACTTGATCTTACTTTAAAAAATCTAGGAACCAGATTACCTTGAAGAAACTCAGTAAATATAACAATTTGTTTTAAATTATGTTGACTTTGTATCCACTTGTTAAATAAATTAAATTAATTTCATGACGTTGTTCCAACTTAGAAATGTCACATAATGTTAACTTGCTCTTTTTAAGTGCATGTTAACTGAAGCACATCAATAAACACTGACATTACCAATGGAAATGTGTGCGGTTAGCTCGTTAGCTAACAAACCTGAGCAAATGTATCTACGTTACTGTCACACTTGCTCATTATTATGTTATTTCTTCTCTCTCTCTCCTTCAGCCTGCAAGTCTGCCAACATTGACCTGGTGCTTCTGATCGACGGCTCCAAGAGCGTCCGCCCTCAAAACTTTGAGCTGGTCAAAAAGTTTGTCAACCAGGTCAGGCTCGTTTTCATTCAACATCTGGAACACTTTGATATCATCACTCACTCTCATCCACTCATTAAATAGGCCTTTTTTTGAATGAGAATTTTCTCTGACATTTAAAAAAGTGCATAATAACAGAAGCACATGAGTCAGATGAGTCAGATGAGTTTCCCTCACCTCCTCCTGTGCCTCAGGTTGTGGACTCTCTGGACGTGTCTGCTCATGGAACCAGAGTTGGTCTGGTCCAGTACTCCAGCCGGGTCAGGACAGAGTTCCCTCTCAACATGTACCACTCTGCTGATGAGATCAAAGCTGCGGTCATGAAGGTGAAGTCTGTTTCTACATATTATCTTCAGTTCAGTTATGTGTTAATACCAGATGCATCACCAGCTACCACTGCACATAAAGTGTTATCAGGCACCTGCAACATAAAGCAAATCAATCATCTTAATAATATTTGAAGTCTGAATTGAAGCTGGCCGAAAATAAACTAAGGCTTTACAGTCTAAATCCTGATTATAATCTAATTATAAAAGATACTCACTCCTTCAAAGACTCTTATTTCATGGGCGTCAAACAGGAAGTAATGTGCAGCCCATAGAAAGAGACGCCTTCATCACATTATGTCCTCATCAGTGTTTCTGTCTCTGTCCCTCTCTAGGTTGATTACATGGAGAAAGGCACCATGACAGGTCTGGCCATCAAACACATGCTGGAGAACAGTTTCTCAGAGGCAGAGGGCGCTCGTCCTTTCAGCCGCAACATCCCCCGAATCGGACTGGTCTTCACAGACGGTCGCTCCCAGGATGACATCACTGAGTTCGCCAAGAAAGCCAAAGAAGCCGGTAAGACTCCAGGAGACCAGTGCGAGGGTCAGCCCAGATCAATGGTGACTTTAAGTGTACGTCTGTGATGTGCGTGTTTGTGTGCAGGTATCACCATGTACGCTGTGGGTGTTGGAAAAGCTGTAGAAGATGAGCTTCGTGAAATCGCATCTGAGCCTGTGGAGAAACATTTCTACTACACCACCGACTTCACCGCCATCAGCACCATCGCTGAGAACCTCAAACTCAACGTCTGCCCAGGTACGACACTCACCTGGACCCGACTGCAGTGCAGCATATTGACAACTTACAGGAGCCACATAAAAAAACTTAACATATAATACTACTCAAAATCTCACTAAATATTAACTTATCAATGTTTTAGCAGTTTACCACTGTTTCCACTTTTGAGTTTCTTAAACATGATATTAAAATGAATTATTAATAATTATAATTCTTTTCAAAGGATTTTGTTCAACATGAAGGAAAATTAAAAAAGATGAGACTCACGTGACACCAGTCCCAGAGTGTGTGCTGTAATGATGTCTTGGTCTTTGGCTCCATCTACTGACGAAAACACAACATGACAGTTGGAGAAAAAGAACTAAAATGTTTAACAACAACAGAATATACAGTATTATTAAAAATATGATATAATAAGTCCACACTGAAAAGGATTGTAATTTAGAATTTTAACTCTTTCTTTTCATGTGGTCCAACTGCAGCAGTGCATCATACCTCATGTTTTGTGATGAATAACTGAATCGTCAAGACAAATCTGGTGAAGTGAAGGTATTAATAGATAATCCATGTATTTTTGACTAACTGCCCTGTTTTGCTTGTGTCCTCTCTTTTCTCTGTCTGTATCTGCAGAGGAGAGTCAGGGGGAGATCGAGGTGAAGGACCCATGTGCCTGTGAGAGTCTGGTGGAGTTCCAGCAGGCCACCATGAGCAGCCTGGAGCAGCTCACACAGAAACATATCCTTTTTAAACGTCTGTCGCCAAACACAGGGTGTTGTCTAACCTTAGGTAACCTTAGGTAAGGAACTGGTAAGGAAGATACCTTTTCTACTGTATCTAATAGAGGTATAACATTTATTAAAATATGGAACTACAAACCCTTTTTTTTCCAAGTATTGAATGTGAATTTGAAGCCTCGGTAACCTCAGCTTCTAATTTGTATCTGTGCAGGAAGTTGGTGGCAGTTCAATCAGGCACAAACAGGAATAATGACCCGAGGCCTGAGAGAGAAAAATGCACCTTATTTGAGTGACATTTCTCTGCGGGTTCGTCACCATGTGGAATCTGCCAAACTGCATGTAGTCACTGAATTCAGCGATGATACAAAAAAAGTAACTAATGAAATTTTAAGGCTGAGATAATGCATTTTACAGATGTTATATCCATCTGTCTTTTCACTTAGTTGGACTGAGTGTGTTGAGCCAGGTCCGTTGGCAAACCCTTATCTTACATCAGCCCCAACAAATCCTATGAAATGGTTTTACTACGCCTGTTTAAAACACCCTGATACTGGACGTCTGATTCCTACGGAGCCTAAAAATCATTTAACACATCAGTGAGTCTCACTGTTGTACTGGGTGACATGTTCCTTCAGCACCATGAACACACACACTGTGGTTCATCTTAACTCAGTCCCACACACACCGTCCTGCTACTCTAAAAACTCACCAGAGCAACAAATGTAGATTAATCCACCGCACAAAGTAGTCCCCAACAAATGCATCTCCTCCAATCTGAGTAAAGTTTGTTGAAAACTACAGATACTACGAAGATACACGTTTTATAAATGAAACTATATTTGTGAGGTGTTTTTTTGGTGTTATCATGACATTTGTTGATAGTAAGAAAAGTACAGAATGAGTCAAGTTGTTTGGTCAGTCTTCAGTTCTGAAAAATATTGAGATGATTTGAAAAGCTGTTCAATAACAAAAAAAGTCTCAATTTGTGAACTGAGAAAATCTGATGGATGTACATAAAGGTATTTATGTACAGTAAATTTCAATACGTTATAGCTTTATTTCTATTTATTTATTCTTTTAGAATAGTTGTTTGGCTATTTTATGCCTTTGTTTGACAGAAGCAGTAGAGACAGGGAATTCAGGGAGAGTTGGGGAATGACATGCAGCGAATGGTCCGGCCAGCTGGGAGTCGAACCGGAGACTCACTGCTCAGGGCATTTGAGCAGCAACCCTTCGGCTTTCAGGTCGCCCCCATTACGTCTTTATTATTCCTTAATCAGTCGTCCACTGACTGGGATGACTGCTCGTCTGGAGCAGCTGGAAAACCAGCTTCTGTCCAGGAAGTGATCTGGTGATCAGAGTGAGCGAACAGCACGCCACAGAGGAAGAGTAACAGAATGAGGAGGAGGAGGGGCACATCCCGGAAAGATCATTCACAGGGGAAATCAGAAACTCTTCTAATCAATGGACAATCCAAAGTGTCTTCTCACAAAGCCTTTGTAGCCTTCACTAGATCTGTTGATCTTCACGTTTATGAGGACGACATTTAACTGAAAGCTTGTGATATAGATTCATATTTCTGGTATAGATGTAAATGACATAATTTGTAAACTTTGTGTCTTAAAAAAAAACAAACAAACAAAAAAACAAAAACAAAACACAACAACACTACATCCATTTTCACTCCTGCCACTGTGCGAGGCAGTCGTTACAAGACGAAAAACAAATGTTTTCATAAAACAGATGAATATTAAATCTTCAAGATTCCCCGGGACACGTGTGTTAAACCTCTGGGGATCTGAAAGCTACAGTATACCGACAGTGTGTCAACAAACAAACAGAATTAAGGATAAATACACAAGATTTTAAAACGTGTTATCAACCTGCTTGTAACACGTTATCAATCATCTGTGCAGTCGGACACACAAAGAGGACTGTAGGCATGTTGGCATCTTTGTAAACTTGATGTAATCAACGTACTGTAGATACATGCACAGTGAAAACATCACAGTGTTCATTCACAGTCACACACCATTTGTCTGTTTCTCTTAGTGCCTTGTTTATACTTGATCTGTTTTGTACGGTTTGTTAAATATGATGTATTTATAGCAGATTTTGTTTTCTTTTGTACCAACAGTAGAATAGCAAATAATAAAGTTGGAGGGAGGAGAACCGGAGTTATTAAAATGAAGTGTTATTACCACTCCCGAGATTAAATTGGTTACTGGGTCATTTCTTGTTTTCCCATAGAAAACTAATTTTAATGGCACGTCTGATGGGCTTTGTGGTGGGGAGAACTGCTGAAGAGGAAACTGGGTTAAAGTTTGAAAAAAGGGAAGTTAGAAGTATAAAGTATCACTATTCCTTAAAGCTGTGGTCTGTTGTTGATTGAGGTGTTCATATTATAAGAATCAGTTGCATTTTACTCCAAAATAAATATGAGCTTTCTGTCGTGAATAAAATGTGTTCTTCACTCTGCACTTTCTACATTTCAACCTTCACACGTCTGTCAATTCTTTTACATACAAACATTTTGCATTTGAGGCAGTTAATTATGACGAGCCAGCTGTGGAGTGCACTGCCTACCACCGTTAACAAGAGGGAATTACACATATTCAAGTCAATAATTCAAATAATATGAAATCTGTCTGTGAGTCAGTTAAACTGTTTCATCAGGCCACTGTATGTAGATTAATATGATCACCTCAACTATAGTAGATGTTCTCACTCTTGCAGTTTTATATAAAAATAAAAAAGACCACCACAAAGTCATAGCCCTTTATATTTGAATGCCTGTATGTTTTTGTATATTTTCTAATAGCTTTACCTTTTTGTATTTTTCTGATGAATCCCTGTATTACGGCACAGAAGGCAATAAAAGAGTGAACTTTTCATTTCTGAGAGATGTGTTGTTTTATATTTCAGGTTTCATTCTCCATGTTTTTAGGGCCTTGGGTTATTGTGTGTTCATGTGCACTCACTGTGTGCAGGAGCACAGCTGCTGTATGTAGCTAACGAACTTTTATACTTCCAGTCAAGCAGCTGGCCTTTGAGGTTTTTATGGGAAGCAGTTGTAAAACTATAAAACAATTTCAAGCTGTTGAGGTCGACGTGAACAGTTTTCCCTCATGGATGATTGTAATTATGTTTTAAATGACATGAATGTGGCATCAATTACACTGTGTTTCAAGCCAGGAACAAAGAATCACCAGTGACAGGTTAACATTATGTCGTGTACTGCAGGAGGAACAATACAGTAATGAATCTTGTAAACATACACAGTCCAATCCACAAGAGAAGTCAAACTAAAACAACGAAAATGACTACATAATGAATTTATACATTTCAGAGAAACTCATACATGAGGATAAAACACATAATCTACATTTTGTCACTAACAATCTCTGACTATGAGAGAGATGTTTTTAAAACATGAGTTACTGGGTGATTAACGTTAAAGAACTGAAAACATTCTGACAAAACTTTTCCTGATGATGAGAATCTTGTTCTCAACGGGTTCACTAACTTCTTTTCTTTTTTCTTTCTTTTGAAAGTCATACAACACTTAAAGGAGCAAAGCTAATTCCCTGTGGATTTGTATTTGCTGTGTTTGAAGCGCAGCTCCGCAGGGATCACTTACCGCTTCAAACAAAGAGCGTCGTTACTGACGATGACATTAAACACATTTTCTCAATAGACTGTGATGTAAGACGTGTTTGTTCCAGAGGTTTTTCTTTTTTTTAACAACCAACACCAAGTGTAACAGAAGTTTTAATGAAACTGAGTTTTGGTAAATGAAAGTGAGGCTGCAGAAAATTACTCTTTTCATTATTTCATTATTGATTGATCTGGATTTACTCATTAAACATTTGGTCTGTCAGAAAATAGTTCCCACATTTTTCACATTAACACATATTTATCAGAGCCAGAACTGACATATATAAATTACAGCTTCAATTAATGATTGTTTTTATTATCGTTTAATCTGCCAAATATCTTTTTTACGATTAATTGATTCACATTTTCTCTCAGTCCTTAATGATCAAATGTCTTGTTCTGTTTGACCGACAATCTGAAACCTGTTTGCTTAAAAAACAACAAAAAAAAAAATACTTAAACAATTAAAGGATTATCAAAGATTTTGAATGTTAATTGACTAATCAATCAACAAATTGGTATTCTGTAAACATTGGTACACACAGTATGGAAACTCATTCAATTTGATCGATTGAGGATAAAAGCAGGAAGTTAAAGCTGCTGAAAATGATTCAGAAACTCAAACATTTTCTTGTGAGGTGTGAGATGATGCAACAACTTCAAGGAAAACTTTTTATCATCACATCCAAACTCTGAAACGCTCCAAAGTTTCTTCTAATTTGTTTTGTAAGTAAGTTTGTAAAAGTTTATAAAAGAGCAAACAAGTCGCACAAGAGAGGAACAATATCATCCTGGTGGATTAACAGCTGATACGACCAAAGAGCATGTCCACTGTGAATACTTTTGTTTTCAAACAACCTTGTTAATGAACTCAATCAGCTGTTCTCTACTGACGATGAGGCAACTTGTTTTTAATTTACTAAAAAAAGCCATTTCCTTAATGATCATCTGAAATATCACAGCTAATAGAGTCGAGACCAGCTCCTTGTAACTGAAGATCCTTTAATGACGATGAGAAACTCTCTCAGAAGACATCTAATAAATCCCTTTGATGCTCTGTGTGTGTGTGTGTGTGTGTGGTGTGTGTGTGTGTGTGTGTGTGTGTGTGTGTGTGTGTGTACTGCATGTTGGATGCTACATAACAAGCTACCCCAGTGTGTGTGACCTTTAGCGTCAGGGCCTAATGAGGGCGGATGAGACGGTTTCTTGTTCCGTGTCCTGCACGTGACCTGAATACACCCAGGGTTACTGAAAATGTCAGGAGGTCCCGAAGGTCCTTCCTGTGGAAAGTCCAACAAAAGTCTTGTTGACAGTAAGTTTACATGCAATATGGTGAGAAGTGTGGGGCTGAGGCACGAAACAGGAAAACTTCTGCTTCTTGAGTGAAAAAATCTGCAGAGATGTCAAAACCAAATATAGAGCAGAGGTTTCTTCACATTTCGAAGGCGCTCGGGGAAACAATAAAGTGTTGCTGGAGTTTCCCTCCCTTTCCCTCTAACATTAAACAGCTCGGTGTTTAAAGTTTCTGGGAGACATTAAATTGTCCATTGTTTCCTGTAAAATTAAATTGTCCATTTAAACACCATAAAATGAAAGATTTTTCATTTCAAATAATCAACTCAAACTAAACACATGCAGAGCATAAACAGAAGACGCTGGTATTGTTGATGAGGATCCCTACAGTTTCTGATTAAAGAACAATGACTGAAGATATTTACTGAATCACCTTTAATCTGGACATCAACTGAGGAAATTCTTGTCCACACACGATGTTACACAACAACACCAAATGAGGTCGCAATCATCATGATGCAGAACCTGCACAGAATAATACTGATGGCTGTCACACGAATCGGATGATAAGAAGGCCGATAAGGCTCCGCAGCGTCTGAGGCCACGATGTTGGAAATCACAGATGTTTTCTAAACATGTAAAAAAAAAAGAATGAAACCTTCAGGGAGGTTGGTTCAGGGTGGGGGATTTTTTCACACAGATTTGATTCATCATGAGGATTCAAGCGAATCAGAGTAGGGTTTACCTGTGGACTTCAACTTTGGTGAACTTTATTTATGTCATCCACTCATCTTGACCCTTTTGACCTCGGCTGAGGCCTTTAAAACTTTTCTTCTTCTTCTTCTTCTTTTTTTTTTTACACAATTGTTGGTTGGGGCTTTGGCGTTTGGTGGTTTAGGTGATGATGGCAGCAAATGAAAAGTCAGATGATAATCAAAGTTTTTACAATTAACTCTGAGTCTGTACGTCTATGTCAAATTTGTCCGTCCAATAGCTGTCGAGATATTTCACACAAAAAAGACACAAATGTCAACCTCATGGTGGGGAAACAAGTCGTGGGATTCATAGTAGGTTAGGTAGGTTGAAATGTACACTTACAAATAAATAAATATACACGCTGTAATACGCACGCACGCACGCACACACACACACACACACACAAACACAAAATCCTTTGATGATTGCCAACCAAATCACATAAAGATCTGAGATCTGAGGTGATGTCAACACTTTTACCCAGGTAATCACAGGTAAGCTCTGTGCAGTCATATGGCTTCAAACATATCACAGAAGAAGAAGAAATGAAACAAGTATTGAAGTATTGAAACAATAATGATATGACCTTTTCATCTGTTTATTCGTGTACCTCTGACAGCTTTGAACTGGCCTGTTCTCCAGGTCGGCTGGTTGTCTATCGTCAGTGTTTACGCAAAGTAATAACAGCAAACATGTGAGACGGCTCACACAGGCCTCTTTGTGTGTATGTTTCACTGCTGTATAATTTAATTATTTCCTTTTCATTTGCAGGAAAGTTTATTCTTCTAATTCTCACAGCTCTGATCCGAGTCAGCTGGACAAAGAAATATGACGATTGGTCAAAACCTCAGATACAAATAATTTGGCAAAAGGAGCTTCAACACTAAAGCTTCAAAAACGATTGAAAACAAAACATTAATGTTGATGGTGCTTTAACGACACTGGATGTTGAATTGACCTGATCAAATGTCTGCTATGATTATTAATTCTTAATCAGGTTGTTTTTTATGAGTTAGTGGAAAGGAAGACAGTGAAAATCATGTACAACTCATTTTCTTTTTGAATAATAATTGCAAGACTTTACTTCCCTCTAACTTAAAAAAAACACTTATATATCTCCAAAAGTGTCTTCAAGTCATTTAGTTTTTAAAATTTTGAGGTTGTTGTTGAATTTGAATTATTTTATTATGAATACTTATATAAATACTGCAAATAAAAATGATGTAAATTGTTACAATTCCATTTATATTATGTAAATCTCTGACTCACTGTTGTGGCTCTCATGACGTGAAGTCATTCCCTACTTAGATGTAATAACAGTTGGGAAACTTGGAATTTAAAACATATTTTAACAATCAACATTTTATACTTACTTAACACTTTCCTGTTTAATAAGAAGACATCCAACTAAATCTTTTTAGTTTAACAAACAAGTTGTTTCTTTATTATAATATTGGCTGAAATACAGGGTTTCTTGGGGGGATTTTCTGGATGCGTTGGGGAAAAGTGGATTATTTTATGACTCAATACCACAAGCTGTTGTGTTTTATAATCATTCTCAATATATACCATCATGTTTTCTCATTTATTGGATCTTCAGCCTTCAGGAAATGAACGTCTCATCTGCGAATGTGACTGTGGTTATAGAGTATCGAGACTCCTTCTCTAAAGCTGTGACCAAGAATGTGATTGTTGTGGTTCTCAGCATCTCCATCAACTACATCAATGCAGGCCTCATCCGCACCTTTCGCAAACACCAGGTATTTCATTCCTTTCATTACCTGCACATACTAATAAAACATTTAATAGGGAAATAATTAATCGGTGATATCCCGCTCAAGTTGTTTTGGCCCCAGTTTAAGTCCTTTAGGTTTATCAGACTCAGATCACTTATATTTTCATAGCTGCACAAGATATGCAATAGAGCTGAACAATGAATCAAAAATATTATTGAAATCATTATATGGCCAAGTGCAATATCCAAATTGTAGGAGCTGCAGTTTTGATAAACTGGTAAAATGTGTCACAACAGATCATTATAAATGAAGCAACAGAGATCCTTCAGCCTAGAAATCATATTCTACATATTCATATTCTACTTTCGAATAAATATGCATAAAGAAAATCACCATTGCCACTAAAATCGTGACTCATATCACAATTGCAATATCTGTCAAAATAATCACAA